TTTATAATTTTCTTACTGTTTGAAATAACATAATATTGTTTATAAAAAAATATTTATAAAATCTTATAAAATTAGACAAAATCGGAAAATGCATTCCATCGCGAATATGTATGCATATTTGATCGTCCATCCATCAAGCACCTTAATCGCTTAGACAGAAATGTAATATCTTAACAGCGTTTATGCTGATTATTAACACTCATTAATGCACTTCACAGAGAAATTCCATCACATTAGTTTGATATAACATTTTCATTTGATTGCGTTTAATGTTTTGCCACCGTCAGTACAAACGTACGAAATATTCGCCATTAAAAACGATATGTGTACATTTCAGCGTATAACGGATATAAATTTAAATGGAATGAAGGAGTGAGACCCGCGTAAAAGTTATGCATATGAATTTTATACCACCACTAGATCGGTAACATTATGTTTGAGAGTTAAAAATATTCCGATAGATTTTGCGCGAAAATTCATGCATATGTTAATTATAATTAAAGCGTCGCCTTTTACACACGAAAAATTCGATATTGCAACAACGAGCGTATTATTAACAAGCAGCGTAATTTAAAAAGATATAGATATTCACGATATATAGTTATTCAAAAAATATTATTTCCAATCCTGCAGTATATTCTTTATACACGCGTGACCCCACTATATAATTATTTTATATATATAATTACGATAATTAAATAAATATATAATACTAATTATTTCTATAATTATACACGCGTATAAAGCAGACTGCTTAATCCTGTCTTTAGGCTTATACCGGTTCCTCAGGCGCAGAGTTTCGCCGTTTTCGCGAGTTTGTCGTTAACCGAAAGGAGAGGCGCATTAATGGCCGCGTGTGTATACGTATAGGAATGAACGACTCTTAACATAAGTGTCGCGTGTGTAAGCGGGCCCCATACGAGAGAGTTGCAGAGGGTGAGCGTCTCGGCGCGGAAGAAGGGAACACCGACGTGTGGGGTGGAAAGGGGAAGGAAGGCCTTCAAGTTGAATAATTCAAGCTCTCATTAGGGCGACAAAAGCACCCTGATGGATAGCTGCTCGACTCCGCTGGCTGTCGTGAGTCCTCCTCGCGCCTTCTATGTATCCTCTCGCATGCGCGCGAATCCGCCGAAACGCGTCCGCAGAAGGGTGCCCCAGAATTGCCCCTTGTCCATTCGATTGCAGATACTCCAGCTTACATTTTTTTTTTCAAAACAAAGGCAGGGTGTCCAGACTCGATGAAAAAAATTCTCCGACTTGTTCAGATTTTTCAAGACCAGAAATTAATTTTTTCCCTGACTATTATTTTTTCCAATATATATAATTGGCATATATCTTGTATATGATAAATCAATTAAATGTTAAATCATGAAAATAAAAATTGAAATCAATTATACAATCTGCATTATATTACAGTTGAAAGTACGAATGAAAACTCTTGCAGATGTATCGCAAATGTAGTCACACATGTAATATTTGTGGAGGGTTGAAGAATGATCTTTATAACGAATCAGCAGAAATAAAAAATGGATAGATTTACATATACGATATTTGAAAATTAATTTGTCCATTCGATTGCAGATACTCCAGCTTACATGTACATTTTTTTTTTCAAAAAAAAGGCAGGGTGTCCAGACTCGATGAAAAAAATTGCCCGACAAGACCAGAAATTAATTTTTTCCCTGACTATTATTTTTTCCAATATATATAATTTGCATATATCTTGTATATGATAAATCAATTAAATGTTAAATCATGAAAATAAAAATTGAAATCAATTATACAATCTGCATTATATTACAGTTGAAAGTACGAATGAAAACTCTTGCAGATGTATCGCAAATGTAGTCACACATGTAATATTTGTGAAGGGTTAAAGAATGATCTTCATAACAAATCAGCAGAAATAAAAAATGGATAGATTTACATATACGATATTTGAAAATTAATTTGACGAATATTTCTATCGGCATCTCTACAAAAACTTAAGATATCAAATATAACGAGTTTTGAAAACATGAAACGTGCGACGAGAATAATAATCTCCCGATTCTATTTCGGATTCTTAATAGAGGCCACAATTAAAAGGACGGTGGGATGGCGCGGGTTTGTACCCTGTACAAATGCGGGTAGTTTCTCCGCGAAAAAGTCCCTCCTTCTCGTTTCTCCTTCCTCTCTTTTCGCTTCGTTTTCTTCCACCCTCTCGCACCCCTCCTTGGTCTTCTTCGCCACCACCGACGCCGGTTCTCGCGGCGCCCTGTTTTATTTCGAATGTTCTTTCATTTCTTAAAAGGTTCTCTCGCTGATAATTAGCACAATGCGCGGCCGCATTAATTATTACCCGTGCTAATTACCCGAGGATAAATCGCTCGGCAAGGGGTGGCCAGCGAAACGAGAGGGAGAGAGAGAAAGAGAGAGAGGACAGGTCGGAGCAGTGGTGGAGATCCGGGAAGGGTGCACGAGAGACTGGAGGCGGGGGAGGCCCATTACCGTTATTGCTGCAACAAACCGTCCAACAACAGCGATAAATACGAGAGAGAGGCTGGCGTTACAAATGTCTCTCTGAGTTATGATTATTTAGCGCGCTCGCGCGCGCGTTCGCGCTCATTCGTTCGTTGGTTCGTCTATTGCGGTTTCCGCGACGGTTGCTTCCGCAGGTTTGTATACGCGACATATTTCGGAAGGGTTGGGCTCGATATTTATCCGCGAGAAATGATGGTATCGTTAATATTAGTAGTTTAAATCGAACGATTCTCTCTCGTTTCGTGTGCGTGGCCATTTGTCTTGGAATCGAATCATTGAAACTATTTTTTTTTTGTACCTTTTAAATGTGGAATTAACATTTCAGATGTGATATAATATTGTTTTAAACTGATATGTATGCGATAGATTTTTGAGAATTTTTATCTTCTTCGTTGACTTGAAATGTAAAAAGACTTATTGAAGCATGACATAATATGCTTAAAAGAAACAATTTTATATTTATATTATTTGATTGGATAAAATTATACATGCCGTGTTTGTTGTGAATTATATTGATTGTGTACACATTCGATAATTAATAAAGTTAATAAACTTTTGCGAAGCTCTTGCTCGTAATCGTCGCACATATTAGATATTTTTCTGACAATAATACTGTCGCAACATTATTATTGCTCCGAAATAATGGCCGTTTCTTTTGAAATAGCTTATCATATAAATGCGCTATGTTACACAAGATTTCATTAAGGCTTTATTTTTCTTTTTCATTTCCATCGGTTTTTTTGACATTCTCGCAAAACTGTACTTATTACAAGAAATGAAAAGCGTCGATTATTTGATGCCATCAATATTGGCTCGTTTATGTATATTTGAATAGCTAATTAATTGAAATAACTTGTTTATTTATATACGTATTATAATGTAACATGTAATGATAAATGGAATAATGCCATATACATTGAATTCGGAAAATTGTTGTATGGCGAAATTGCAATATGTAACCGAAATAAATTGCTGATAATATCATCAGCTTGTGAAACGATTATGAAACACAAATCGCTTGCAAAGCAATTCAAAAGGTATTATTTTACGCTATCATAGATTTTAATAAGTTTTGCATAATAGTACACAAATTATTAACATATCCTGTTTATCGAATTTATATTTCAACAAGAATATCTATATATATTTCGAGTCTTTATTCCAATCATAAATTATCAAATAGATTTTCCGAGTTTCTCCGAATTTATGGTGTTAATAAAATTTACGTAAGTTTAAAGTAACGAGAACGTTCTTTTTACGTTTTCTATACAATAATTAATAAAAGCATTTAGTTATTCTGAAAGATAAATAAATCATTAGTAAATCAAACATTAATAAAGAAATTGTAATAATAAATATACTTTATGTTTAAATTTAAATTAATTCAAGAGATAATAATAATATTAATATATTGTATTGATAATAATATTAATAATATTCTGTTGATTAAATTGATTAAAATTTTTTATTCAATAATTAACGCGAAAGTATAATTGTCATATGAGTAGTTTTCGTTGCCGACAAATGTTATTTTATCGATCTGACAAAGTAGCTCGTAATTCCAACAATAGTTAGCGTTATTTTCTGTGTGCATTTAATGCAATTTAATTTTTATTTTGAAGCAAAATTTTATTTTTATAGAATTTTTTAAATTTAAATTAATTTCTAGGGCAAAAATTATATAAAAATTATTTAAAAACCGTTTTGTTATCAAAATAAGATACTGCATTTCTATAGGAAATGGATTGCTGTGCCATCTCAAGGGATACTCTGTAAACTGGACACCCTGTACATCGACGCAAACACATATATTAAAAGTTCTTATATATATAAATTGCAAATATACAAATTAAGATTTGTGCAAAATCTGATGCACGTATGAAGAGAAATAATTATTAATATCTAATTAAAAAATATGTTTAAAATCTTAATTTATTTAATTAATATATTAAATGTATAATAAAAACAAAATATTAATGAATTATTCTCACAATTTCTATTTTATCTTAACTTTTATAGATACACACACACTATATGTATATTATACATATATTTATTAATTTTTATATATACTATAAGTACATATTTTTATACTATATTTATGCTTTTGATACTGTTCTATACTATTTCTACAAGTTGATAAAAAGTTTCTTAACATATAAATTTGAAATTATAACTCACAAAATCAGTTGAATTTTATATATATACATGCATATAGAATCTGCGTTTTTCCGTTCAGCTTATATCGGGCTTTGCTTTAAAAGGTCATTTTGCATAATCGGAAATTAATCAGCAATATTTGAATTAATATCTCATTGGTATTCCGCCGGCTTTATCACATCGTAAACAAATGATCGCAAGAACACGAGTATCGAAATTGCGAGAGAGATCGAATGAATGATGATGTCGGCAGGGTCATCGCGGGTTCAGGGGTCACCGTTGATTGATAAGAACCGCTTTCAGTGACGTTCACGATTATTCACTGCGAACGGACGGGATCACCCGGATCCCGTTCTGCGACAGTAGTCGCTTTCGGTCTCACGACAGTTTGCCTCGTGGATCCATCACGTGTATTATGTACCTCGTTCTTGTGCGTGACATTTCGTCGAACGGTTCCGTGTTCACGTGTCACGAATTTACTCGACGATTTCTGACCGGAAACTATGTATACTTTAACAGAATATTACCCACTTTAAGCTTGCACACGTCAGTAGACATCGACGTGCCTAACGACTATTTCATCATTTAATCTTTAAATGTCAATGTTTTCAATTCGTCGTGTCAACCTTTTAACTTTCTCGAATTGTTTTGCAATTTTGTTAGCGCTCTTTACGTCCGTTAACAAACAAACAAGCTTTTTCATCAAACAGTGATCAAGTGTCTCAAAAACAAGATCTCTAGGATTGAACTTGTAAATCCCACTTAAAAGTAAGGAAATTCTTTTCCTGACGATAGTTAATCTACAAGAAAAGATAGTAAAAGCGGTGTCTAAAATATTTAAATCAAATGCACAGTTGTACGCAGACGGAAATTGAAATACATTTAAGGGGATTTTTCCTCGCGAGGAAAGATCGAAGAAAGATTTTGACGCGAGGAGAGTGTCAAGAATCCGGAGCACACTCGGTATAGCATTCATCAGTCCGGATCGGGCAAATTGGCCGGCTTCCGCAGTGAGTGACTCTTTTCTCAGTTCTGTCTGCGCGTCTCGCTCTTTACAGTGACGTATTATCACCGAGCTGTTACGATGCATACATTACACGTGCTGCGCACACGAGCGCCCACATGTGACTTGATATTTCACGGCGGAGTTCGCATCAGTATATATCGGGAAAGTCTCTTCTTCGATTCCAATATCGACGAGTAGGGGAAAACGAGCAAAGGAGTAGCTAGTCCTGCTAGTAGTCCCCGATGGTAGAGAAACAGGCCCACGGTGGTAGGGGCGAAGAGAAGAAGAGAGTTCCCGAGAGTTCGCGATAACGCAGGCCTGCGCCGTCTAATTATTCTTGTTTACCCGCAGAGGAACGAGGGAAGGAGAGCTGACAGGACGAGGCGAGGCGAGGTTCGCGACACTACGGCGGTCGCAGTGCGAAACGACAGCAGGAGCGAGGAAAGGATGGCCGAACGTCTTCTTCAGGGCACGCCAGTCAGGATGCTCGCCGTCTGCATGGTCTACCTTTTCACGCTCCTCGGTGAGTTATCCGCTGCTTGTTGTGGTCCCCCTGTTTTTCCCTTTGCTCGTTCGCTCCCACCCTGTTCGTATCCCCCCAACCCCCGACCCTTCGTGGTCCCCCTTTCACGGAGTTGACCGAAAGTCATTCATTGAAAAATGCATCATACGAGCCGGCCGGAACAAGACGGCCCCCATTGAATACGCGCCATTACCAGTAAATCTTGTGGTACAATTTTCGATATTTTTTTGCTTTCTTGGTGAATAGGATAAATGATGTGTCAAATAATTTGTTCGCTTTAAATGTGTGAAAATTGTGTGCCACGTGCGTGCAACGTCAATTATCTATATCTATACCTATTTTTGCTGAAAGCATATCAGTGCATATATTAGCGATGACCTCCTCTCGTCGCATTAAGAAAGCAGTGAAGACCAACTGCGGACTCAAATATTATAGCGCTAATGTGAACAAATTCTAAATCAATCATAATCTCGAGTTCGATAATTTTTTCTACATTATTTTAATATGCAAAATAACTTTTTTCCGAAACCATATGTCGAAAATTAAAATGTCTGCGACGAAAAGATATATTTTACATTTCCTATTTCTCCTTCTTATTTTTTGTTGATATATATATTAAAAAGAGACTTATACAATTTTTTTTACAGGTTCGTACTGTCAGATGGCACCAGGTAAGAGAAAATCATATTTAAAAAAAAAAATATACAAAATTACAAAAATTCACACGAATTATTTGAAACAACCTGTCGATTTCATAATTGAGACATTAAAAAAAAATCATTAGCAATGCCTATTCTTGTCTGTCGTGTAACATGGACTGCTTGTGAATTAACGGTATTCGGTATGCTGGGGTACACGCATATACGCACACATGGGTACTATACACAAACACACACACACGTACACGTGTATCCGGCATGGCGTGCGTTCTCTCTCGAGCGCCGATTCTGGTCGTCTAGTGCGCCTGTCAGTCGACGCGCGACGCGACTCGCGGTCAGTCACGTTGTCGAGCGTTTGATTCACAAATATACAACTACCTCGCTACTATCAGCCACCGCGTGACTCACACGACAGTCTGCGCGATGAAGAGTATATGGGGATTGTGCGTGATATTTGCAGCCGTAGCCGGTGCCACCAGAGGCTGGGAAGCAGGAAGCGGCCACAAATACAGATTAACGAACACCCTGATCTTCAGGGAGGCCGGGTCACCGAAATCCGGAGGTGATGTAGGCTTTCAGTTGACCAGCGAGCTGGATGTCACCGCTGTCTGGCAAGATTCTAATGATCCTAATAGCTTTTTGCTTAAATTCAAGGTATGTTTTCGTTTTTAATCTGAATATTTCAAATTTTAATGAAAGAATTTGATGACGTGAACATTCGTTGTTAATTTTTTATGAATCGTAATCTTCTAAATATGTTGCTGATTCATTGTATTTTATGTCAAACTTGCTTTATTGCACACTCGACGTATTAATAAAAATTCTTTTCGCAATTTGATAAATTATTATTTCTGTTGGAAAATTATTTTAATACAGATTATAAGAGTTATAATTATAAATAATGAGATTATAATTATAAATAATTATGATAGCATAAGCAGTTTGTATTATGTTTTAATATGCAAATTGCACAAATTTATTTTTATCATTTTTAAACACTTACTCGATTAGTTAGGTAACTCGGAAAATTTAGATAATAATAGTGATATAGATATACACATATATAAAAAAATATATCAAATATCAAATATCTGCGTATTATTTAAATTATCAAAGTTATCTAAGTTAAGTTATCTAAGTTATCTAAAAGTAATAGAAATGAATGCATGCTGTGCATATTAAAACTTGAAACATTAATACAAACAGCTTATGTTATCGTACAATTATTTATATATATATATATATTTATTTATTTATTCCTACTCATGAATTATATTCAAAATATAAATGCGTTAGATTTGCCATATTTGGGTTTCTAAATTTTACATAAATCATGAAACGTTATTTGAGATCGTATATCTGCTTCACACGTGTCTCCCATATTTCTATTCTACTTATTGTTCCTCAGAATGAATAGATTGTAAGTTTGCAGTGTATGACAAAAAGAAATCTTTAAAAGTTTTTACATATCAAGGGTAGAAGATCTATTTTCAACTGAGAATATTGTTGCAGTGAAAAACGCATTAAGCCTTTTCATAGTCAAAAAGATTATGTCAGAGACTTACTGGATATTGATAACCCTGTATCTGAAAGTGATAAAATATTTCTTCTCGAACAACATTTGTAAAGAACGCCTTGAAAATCAAACTCATTACTAAATCAATTATTTATTATAACTTGTTGGCTTTAGTATCAATCTTAGAAAAGAATGAAAAATAAAAAATATATAAATTAAATTAATTATTTTCAAGACATTTATCGAGGAAAGACTCAAATGAATTATTGGTTGGAAAAAATTTTAAAAATATAATGATTACGTCAAATTAATAAAATATATTTTGATTCACACAAGTGATATTGAAATAATGAAAATAATTGTGTATTAAAGAGAGTTAATAAAATAAGATATATCAATTTTGTTTACAGGAAAGACTCACAAAAGTTTTAAATCGAGTAGACATTTCGATAAATAAAATAAAATAAATACTTTCCGGATATCTTAGTTACGATTTTTTCGCTCCTTTAAACTTTGAGATATGATAAATCTAATGTTACCTAAATATATATTTTACATAATATATACATATTTACGTAAATATATATTATTTCAGCTATTATCGCCGCAGTTATGGATCAAATCGCGTCGAGCTCCGGAGCCGGAGGGCTTCGTGGAGCATTCGTCCAAGATAGAGCGGGTCGCCGAAAAGCCCTTCTTCGTCCTATGGCGATACGGCGACGTCGAGGCGATTTACGTGGACTCAGCCGAGAACGCGTCTTCTGCGAATTTAAAACGCGGCCTGGCGAGTCTCTTTCAGTATCGAACCCTCGACGACGAGGTGCGTCAACGTGACGCTTCCGGCGTCTGCGACGTCGTCTACGTCTCCACCGGAGAGAACCTCATCGAGAAACGAAAGACTGCTTGCACGTACGACACATTACCGCCGCCGAGGCGACACCCGAACCCGGTGTTCGCCGTCAAGCTCGAAAGTTATCGCAATACCAAGTACGCGCTTACGCAATCGCTGCTGCCGGAACGCGTGACGGACTACGAGGGACATAAGATGACCTTGGCGGCCAAGATAGATGTCGGCACGAACGTCGTGTCGGAAAGAACGTTGGAACAGATGTCGGGGATCCTGGACGTGAACGTCGTCCAAGCGGATTCCGCGAGGCACGCGGTGATGGTCCTCGAGCCTGGATACAAAGAGACCAGTCTCGAGCTACAACCGGAGCCCGTCACGTGTCCTGACACCGGATGTCCTACGGTAACCTTTTTTTTAAATATATATACTTATGTAATATTATCGGGCGATAAGATAGGGAGAAAGAGAGGAGATTATTTTGGTATTTTGATGACACAAGAATATTGTCTAAGAATATTTCGAATGTTGAGGGAAAAACAATGGTAAACACGAAACATCGCTACAATGATTTACTTTTGAGAATTGTTCATGAAAATTTAACATTGCAATCGTATGCAATTTTGCGTTGAAAATTATTACAATTTAAATCAATTATAAGTGTGAGTAATGAATAATGGTTTGAATCACGCATAAATTTTACTCCAATATATTGATCTAAAAAATATCAACCTAATATACTTTTTATTTACTTAATATAAATTTTTTATCAATAATAAAAAGAAATTAGTTGGACTAAATAATGTGGGATAAATAGATGAATAGAGAAAGAAACTATATTTTCAAAATTATAAATTGAGAATTTAAAATAGTTTCTGAAAAATATTATATTTGCTCAAAGTTTTTAATAAAATAATAAATCAAATTATAAAAATTATTTCTATCTCTTTTAAAACTAATTCATTTATTTTCATTAAAATTTTTATTTCTTATTTTTGAGAGATAACTGAATCATTTCGAAATTTTTTACTAAAAGTATTCCATTAAATTATTTTACATTCAATGTTTAATAGATTCAAGTTAGTGATACTACGTTAAGAAATATAAAATAAAAAATTTATTTAAAATGCTTGTTTCAAATTTTCTTCGTGTTATTATGAAAAATTTATCTGTTAACTGTATTTGAATCTATAAATTAGAATTATGCATATAACAATGTGAAAAAATGCTATTAATCAAACTGAACGTGATTAAAATATCAAATATACGAACAATTTTATTTATCTCAAGTTTTGAAAATTCAAGTTCATTCATTAGAGTTTTTTCATTTTATCATGCTTAAATATATATCTTATTGCAGATCGAACAAACGATCGAGGAAAATCGCGAGGCGCTTCTCCCTTCTGCGCTAGGTACAGCGAAATCAGCATCGGCCTTCCTCAAGCTTCTTCCTCTAATCAAGAACGCCTTACCAGAGGACCTACACAAGATCCTAAAGACGCCGCGCTATCGTCGAATGAAGATGCAACTCCTAGACGTATTCGGCTCCGCGTCTACGTTGCCCGCTCATCAAGCTGCCATGAAGATCCTGCGGCAGGACGAGCACGGCGACGAGACCGAGAGGTACCTGTGGGCCCTGTCTCTCTCGCCGACACCGAGTGTCGACATCGCCAAGGAGATTCTCCGACGCTCCGAGGAGACGATGCAGAACGACAAGGTAGCCGAGACCTACGCGCTCGCTGCTGGCGCGATGGCGCGACATTCTGGCTCGCCTGCGCTGATAAAGAACGCGAGGATCAGCTTGGAACTGGGTCTGGAGACTTGCAGCGACGAGGAGTGCAAGCTCAAATTTTTGCGGGCTCTGCGAAACCTGAAGAGCCCAGTGGCGATTCCCACGTTGTTGTCGCACGCGTTCAGCGACAACAAAGCCATCAGCGTCGCAGCTTGGCGAGCCCTGGCGGCTCTTCCTCGCGAGGATGTAACCGAACAGCTGAAGGCTGCGGCTCACCGAGCCTTCTACCAGATCGGAGGACCGCGAAGGGACAGCAGCGCGCGAACGATCGCGTTGGACATCATCCTGGAGAACGAGCCTTCCGAACAAGTCCTGCGTGACTTCGTCAACTATCTGAGCGGCAACGACCCGGCCTACGAGGTCCGCAAGTATCTCGGTCAACGATTGGAACAAATCGCCGAGAAGAACGAGCGAGTCGCAGGATACCTCGAGAACATATACGCGGCCGGCGATACGAGATTTAATAATTATCACGCGCGAGCGCAGAGAGGTCTCACCACGGCCTTTACGAGAAATTTCTTGCGCTCGCCCGAGAGCAACGGTTCCTTAGTAACCATTCAGGAGGTGAAGTCCGGTCTGCTCAAGCGCGGCATCGTAGACGTCGTGCTGGAGACCAACGAACAACAGCAGGCGATGTTCTCGCTAGGATTATTCGCGACTGGTCTCGGCAGCTTCATGTCTAGCCAGGAGAGTGAAGCGGAAGCTGCCGACGATGAGGTGGCTACTGCCGGGATGGAGATAGACCTTCTCGGAGTCGGCGTGCGACCATTTATCTTCTTTTCCGGTCAGGGCGAGCTGATGGGCCACGTCTGGTCCGGCACGGCGTCCGAGAGGACCCCTGCCTTCCAAGCTCTCGCTTCGTTGTACAATTACAACGAGTACGTGCCATTAGGATCCGGCTTCGTCGCCGAGATCGACGTTCAGGGCGCCGTAAGCTTCGACCTGGCCGGGCAGATTCAGCTGAGTCTCTGGTCGAGGAACGCGCAGTCCCTGGTGGAAATGGACGCCGGCGTGATGGTCCACGGAGGCACCAGGGTGCACTCGAGCTTCGTGCAGAGCAAGGCGGAGTTCTCGATGACTATGGAGCCTAAACTCGAATTGTCTACCGACGTGGATTTTTCCGGGCCGGTCTCGCTGTGCATGAGGCTCAGCCAGCCGATCACGACGGTGAAGCAGCAGGTGTACAAGATCGAGAGAATACCCGGCAGTCGGCACAGACTGAGGAAAACGCGTCGGATGAAGATTCACTCGCCCGGCAGGTCTTACAAGCTCAATCAAAAGAACAACGAGATGTGCGCGAAATTCGCGCTCAGTTAACGTCAGCAACGCAGCCCGAAGATTATTGCTCAGTAACTTTTTTTTATACTAAGTGATCGCGATATCAAACTGTTTCTTTTTACCGTTGTGAACCTCGATAGTGTTAAGGATTGAATTTAAGTACGATAATATAGCAGCGTATATACATGTATGAAATCGATGGATAGATTGCGGATCGATAGATAACGTTACACTTGAACCTCGATATAATGCTCGAATTGAAGTTATTCAAATTATATTAATGTGAAGCGTTATTATGAAGAAATGATATTTATAACAAGATCTCGCTTTTTGTAATGTCGCAATTTTTAACCATAATTTATTTTTTGTATCCGTTATTCCTATTCAATTTTAATTTGATCAACATTATATACAATAAAGATATTTATTATATTTAGGTATTCTCTTCTCTTCGAGCTCCATTATATCGAGATTCGACTGTATTTATATTTTATACATTTGTACATTCATTTCTACAAACGTAAGCGTTTCGCTGTTAATAAAAAAAGCATGAAAAAAGTGTCTCTCGGCATAACGTCCAACATAATATCTATCAGCGACAACCGCATTCCGAGACGACCATGTCCTCGTAGCCATACTCATAGGTCAAAGTACCGCTTGCGTCCAGATAGAGGAGACTCGTGGGTGCCAACCTGGTCGGTACGCAGCAGGGTCTGCCGACAAATTTGTTACCACCGAGATCTTCGCTGGCTTGAAGAGCACCGTGTATCAACGTCTGCACTATCGCGTGCTTGGTCGGACTGAGATGATCGCCGAACGGGAAGGAACATTTCCCGGAGCACTGATAAGCCTCGTATCCTGGTGGGGCGACCACCCACTCGTCGTAGGCGATCAAGGCGAAGTCCACGTACATCGGACGTCGACGGCAGCCGTTGCGACGTCGTCTACGCGGCGTCTCCGCGTCCCAGCGATCCTGATCCTCCGGCTGATCCTCCGCGGATCGACGACGGCGCTGGATCTTGCTGTAATTCAACAGGAGGATCGGACTGTCGCCGTAAGGACGATAGGTCAACCTTCCGTGAACCCGGAGTCGGACGATCTCGCCGGTGTTCCTGCCTGCGACGGCGGAAGTGACGTCGAAGGCGCGCCAGGCGTCGTCCTTCCTCGAGCTTAGGATCTCCTCGCTTCCGTTTCTCCTTGACGGATCGTTCAACGATCGCACCCGGATTATCGCGCCGGCTATCCCGAGTAATTCCGCAGCTTCCAGCGTCTCGTCGAGGTCGACCGTCGGAATCGCGAATTCTAGGATCCTACCGCCGTCGCGGAGCGGACCGGAAGTGTGCACCGGCTGAATCGCGCGGACCACATCGGCGTCCGGACGTCGATGGTATAATTGCAGCATGTATCTAGACAAGGTGCTTCGATGTTTCCGACGAGTGGATAGCTTCGTGTCGATTCTATTCAAAGGAGGACGATGCGAGGTAGTCCAGGACGATGACGAAGACAAGGATGACGGGATCGATAGATCAAAGTGGATCAAAGCTTTCGCGCGCATACTCCAACAGCTGATCGATCCGGTCTTCCATAAACAGCAGACGGAAAATGTACCCGCGATTAACAACAACCAATAATGCCCGGTGGTGAATCGCATGATAAACCCTCGATGTATTTAGAAGGCGGAATGGCGATAGATCTTACGAGGGAAACTCCAATAAGATATAATAAATAGAATATGTTGCTCCTTCAACAAAATTTTTTTTAAGGTTTCTTTTAATTTTTTATATCATTAAACCTGGATAAAATCCACAGGAATCGTAAAGATATGAAGATGCAATTATTTCACAGATATTTCACTTCACGAGACTTTTTAAAATAAACCAGAAGTTGCACGTGTACATTTCTTTTTTCAATCAATGTTTCTTATTTGTTAATTAGTTTTTCCTAGAAGAGGAACGATTGAATGATTAACCGATGCCGTCTCGTTTCGAACTGCGGATGTCGAATCCTTCGGAGACGGTTAGCCCGGTTGAAGGACCGCTCTCTCCAAATAGCTACCAATGAAGGCGTTCGAAATTACCGCCTGGCATTCCCTTATCAACTGCAGACCACCACTCGACCGAGCGACCCTGCATATTTACCCTGCCTGGTATTCTACACTATGCGTCAATAACACACTAGAATTGATATTTTTCGATAAGAACTTATTTTGTTTCTCAAAGAATCTTTTTGCATCAGGTTGGCAGAGATGTTTAACTAGAGATTTTTTAACTCGGAAAAGGCTACAATTATAATTAATTACGTTATATTAATTTCAATTAGACGTTTTAATGTGTATCATTGTTATTTCCCACATCACACTAAATATATTATGCTAGTTTATAAAACTGTAATAAATTATTAAATATTGATAATGATAGAAAAAGATTTTAATACACATAATTTATGATAATTTAACACTCTGAAAAATTTAAATAAAAATTTTATATTGTTGAGTGCATATATGTTACAAGCTTTTTGCCCTGCCAACAATGAATATTGACGTAAGATTTGCTATATATTTTCTATGCGCTTGCAAACACACAACATAATCCTAAGAATGAAAATATATACGAATATATTTTCATTCTTATACTAAAATAACATAACTCTTATAATATTCCATCACGTACGTACAATAAATTAAAGAAAATTATATTTACAGCTCTCCCTTCATAAAAAATCTACAACTTAAATAGATTCTTTCATAAATCCCAATTTGTGCTGTCGTGCAATTCTTCAACGTATTAGAAGGAGGATAAAATATCGAACGAGGCTAGAGGTATAAGGCTCAAGGGTAAGCTATATACCTTTCTCGCATTGGAAAGAGGGTAAGATATCGAACGAGGATAGGGGTGAGTTACACCCTATGGTAATGCAGAGCGACGCACATCCCCCACGTTCTCGCCAGTCGGCGTCTCTCGCGTACGCAACACACATCGTCGTCGTCGTCGTCGACGAGGAAAAACGAGGGTAACGCGCGTGCGCAGGTCGCGCGCGGGGGCGATTATCGCTCCTTCGGGGTGGTTGCCGTCGCGGTGACGAAGAAGGGTGGCCGTCGCAGCGCCCGGCATCGATTCGCGCCGTCCTCGTCGCCGCGCGGTATGCGCGAGGTGACGTCATGGCGCCGCGTTTACGCCAGCAGTGAGGGTCCGCATCGCGTAACGTACGTTGAGAAGCTCGAGCGTACGCGGGCGAACGAGGAAAATCTTTGTCTCGCGTAGAAAAAGGCAGTGTCATGCCGTGGCCCTGACCCTAAAGCTGCCCCTAAGCCTGGTCAGTCAGAGCCGACCAGCCCCCGGGGGTGCGCGCCATCCGGTCTCTCCTCTTTTCACTCTGCTCTTCTCTCGGCCGTTCTCCGCCGATTCGTTCCTGAAATCGCGGCCCACGGACTCGTCCTCGACGACTGGTACCACGTGACTTACCCTCGCGGATCGCCACGACGGAGGAAACGCTCATCCCCCTACTTATTTATTCTTTCACGCCAGTGAGTACACGTTACATATTCTAATTTAGAATTTAGCGGAGCACGATGAAAGATGCGAGGAACGCGTGCCGGTATCGCTCTTTTCTCTCATATATTTGACAAATTATTATTTGTATATTTTCATACAACGCTCGTCGCTATCATTTTATCGTGATTATTACGCGAGTGTCGTATACAACGCACACCTGAATGTACAATGTATATATCTGAATCTGGGCGATTTGTATGAGGAGATCCATACGTGTCTGCATGCATATATGCGTGTACAATGTACAAGTCGTTTCAGTTTAACGCGCGTCGCGATAACGAGCTCATAAATATCCGGGAACAAGGTCCGATGACATAGGGGATAATAGGACTCGGACTTCGGGCCCAGATACAAGTCCGATGTCGAAGTACGAACGCTCACTTCGTTCCGTATCTTCCTCGGGTCGCGAGCCCAGCGCGCGCTCGTTTAATACTCTCACCGATCGTTAGCAAAGTCGTCCGACGACTCTCACGAGAGCAGCACGTATCCTCTTGTATATCTGCACCTGTCTCTCTATACCTAGGCAGTCCGTGCCGTTATGCAGGTAACATAGTAGCGGCGCCCAATTACATAAGCCTTTGGCAGTATGGTGCCCGAACGGTTCAAACGATCTTAAACGAAGTGTTACAGTCTCAACTCGACGATTACCTACCGTATCTGGGCGGCGCAGCCGGTGCTCTCTTCGTCACCGGGGTGGCTTACTGGGCTTCCAGACCGAAGGCCGAGAATCCGCTCTTTCCACTCGACGCCCAGGCATTGATACTACCGGTAAGTAAGGAACAGACGCGAGACACGTGTTTGTCGCTAGTCTTTTCCCGAGTCTCCTCGCTCTCTAAAGACGCGTTCGCGAAATCGAAAATAGATTTGACCTATTAGTGATCTCTTTTGCACTTACTTTCCTCCGATTTGCTTTCGCTCTTTTCACCGCAACATTTGTATCTCTGTTTCGTTTGGGGTGTAACCATAAGTAATGCCAAAAGGAGATAAATCTATTGAAGCATTTTTTTCGAGTTTTTCGAGCACGTGGTTGCGACACTTCACACAGCATCGTTATCTAAAAATCGCTATCTATAAATTTTCTTATCTAAAGACCGAGAACATATTTTAATGTGACAGTTTTGATTTAATGAATTATAATTTATTTTTGCGTATTATTAAACAATCTGCAGATCGTTATCTCAAGATCGAGAGATTTTTTGCACAGTTGGAGTAAATGAAAAAATACTTCAGCCCTGACAGTCTTCAACAAGTTAAAGTGTGCAAGTACTTATGTGTGTGCATCGTGTGTTAAGTAAAAAAATTATTAACGATCACAATATATAAAATGGAAAGTTTTTACACAATAATAAAATACACAAAACGTGTACATGTGTTGAAATGTGAAATTGATATAAAAAAATTATGAGGACTTTCGAGTAAAAATTAGTATGATTATAGTATATACATCGCGCGCTGTAAACAAATAAGAAAAATAATTAATAGCAGATTGATTTGTTTGCATACTCCAACTGTGCAATAAATCTTCGCTCATTGCTATCTGCTTATCGATGGAAAATTACGAGAAACGTGACGTATCATTTCGATTGAACAATAATATATACATGATTTATTTCCTACGGATTAATTTATTAAATATAACGTATTATATATATCAGAAATCCTATTATTGTGCAACATAGTAAAGTGTCCGAGGTTACTTTTCTCCGAAATTATATAGAATAGTACTAAAATTCTCTTATAATATTTTAACGTTTGCCGGAACCTTTTATGTTTAGGCTTCTTTGGGCCTAAGAAAACAGTATTGTCCCTACGCAAAAGACCCAAAACTTAAACCTTGAAACATAAGAATGATTTGCCGTTCTGCCAAATAGTTTTCAAGAGAACAGCTTCATGTGAATTAGTCTGTGTATACAGGGTGTCCCGAAATTCATGAATTAAAATACCCATAGCAAAAAAGTTCTTGAAAAAATAAATTAAATAATAAATTAAAAAAGTATTTGCTATTTTTATTCCGAATAATAGTTTTCAAAAGTATTAAAAATTGGCCAATTATTTATAGATTATAATTAAACAGAAGCCGATTCATGGACAGCGCGTTTGTTTAATCATGATTTGTAAGTAATTGATCAGTTTAAACATTTTTTATCTCAAAAACTACTATTTAGAATAAAAATAGCAAATATTTTTTTAATGTATTTTTTCGAGAATTTTCTTGCTGATATTTTAATTCGCAAATTTCAAGACTCCCTGTATGTATATTATATGTGATCGATATATTATTTTTACTCTTGCAAATTTAATTGAACTTTCATTCTGTCTCATACTCATACTCGTTTGTTTATTCTATCATGTTCGTTAATTGTAGATTGTAGATATTTTCAGCTTGAATATGTATCAGTCACTTAGCATACCTTATTTTTATTTTTTTTTTAATTTAACTAGAAGATGATTTATCTTTACCTTTTAAAAATTATACACATACAGAGAACGATTTTCTTAAAATGTCAGATAAATATTCTTTAATAAATATATCCAGAATTCAAAATAAGATGAAATATTATGACATTTAAATTTCATTTAAATTTCATTTTATTATAATATAAAAACATTCGCTCATTGTACAATATATGCCGTTATTCTTATATTCAATATAAAAGTAAAAGAAGTGAAGAAAATAGTGAAGAATACTTAATGAGATATTTATGCAATTCGAATCGATTAAATATTTATAATGCTGATATTGTCTGCTTTGAATATTTTTCACACTCATGATATAATATCAATATGTCGTAGAAAATATGTCTGATAAGATTATATGAGACATTCTCATAGATTACTTTCTCTTTATTAAAAATAAAGAAAGAGCAAGGGGAAAAGTTATTTATATTTATATCTCTCTCTCTCTCTCTCTCTCTCTCTCTATTACATATTGTATTTGTTATATACATATATACTTATGTGCAAAGATATGTGTTTGTATATGTGTTTTACATTTTCTAATATTATCTATTTTTACATTTAAATTGTTCTTTTAGATTCTTAGACATTTTTATTGCAATACACATTTTTATATTTATGTAAACATTACATGTGAGAATTACGCTAAATTATATTTTCAAATGTTTAATGCAATTATTAATATCAAAGTGTTTAAAATTAAAATTGAAAGCAAAATATCATACAGTCATTTTTTTGTCAAAATATTCAATTTCTCGGCTTGAATACACTTTTTTCAACAAGTATTAAAAAGTGTTTCCTAATTGTCATTTAAAAAAATTCTAGTCTTGTATTCAATTTACGTGCAAGCAAGCTAGAAAATACACACGTATTCTCCGAAGCCGTACAATTTGCCAATAAAATGATATCTTATTCCTTCAGTTTTTTTTCTGTATTTTTTCTCGCATTCATTGAATTAGCCGCAATATTTACCTGTCGTGTTCGCGATCCATTCATCGGACAAAGTATATGTTTTACAGTGACATTAGCGTCACGCAATTTTATAGACTCCTTTGTAAAATAATGTATCCAGGCATAAAACACCTTTCGTTAAAGTTATTTTCGAAGCCTGACTACAGATATATACATATAATGAGCTTTTCAGATTAACTTTACCAATCGGCTCGTAGCAACCCTCTCGACTCGGTTTACATAAGCTTTTCTTCGAACCCTTACTGTCGTTGTAAGGATAAGATATCGATTTTGGCGAATCCGATATACGCTTTTTCGAATATGTTTACAGGTAAATATTTGTGAATGTTTTTAGATCAATATTTCCATCAACTATATTTATAAGATTTACAAAGTTGCAGAAGAGAAAGAGAGAGCTTAACATTTTCAGAGGGTTAATTATTGCAATTTATATGTATTAAGATATTAGATTATTTCATCAAAGACTTATATTGTATCTCTTTAGAATGATGCCAGTATGGTTATAGAATTCATTCTTTCATTAAACGATTCAATTGTGAATAGTCAAGGCTTAACTCTATGATTCTTGTATATAAGTATATAGGTATACATATAGGGTGTTCGAGAGTATCTAACAGAATATTTCTTACGATTCTTTTACACCTAGATTCTGAATTTTTTAAAGAGTTAAATGAAAATGGAACGGTCTAAAAATATAAAGAAGAAAATAAATGGAAATAAATGAAAAGTAAATAGAAAATAAATGGAAAGCAAAATACGTTAAGTTTTAAACAACTTACACATTATGTACACAATGCACGTCACTACCGACATGACAAACTTCATTGTTCTTTAATTCGTATAACTTTTTATTCAAGTCATTTCTTATCATCTTTACATGTTTAACTTTTACGACATTTTATTACTTCACATTTTCCTCGATAGTGAGATCAAACTAAAATCTAATCGATTTGTTGTTGTTCTAAAAAAAGATTTCTTAAGAAAGACGTTGCGACAGATGTCAATAGATAAATCTAATCAATTTGAGAGCTAAATTGTTTCGATAGAAACTCGCTTAGAATCCTCTACTCTATCATCTTTAATTTTTTTAAAGAGACGTAAAACAGTTTACTATATTTCGGAGCAAAATGACATTTTGCTTTACCTGCTCTACTGTCCTTCGTTTAGGTTTTGACATTACACAGCGAATAATCCATAAAAAAGCGCTCGGTATTCGGGAGCGGCTCGGCACATCTTCCACACCTATCAGTTTAATATCACAACCCTGAACAACTTTTCAGAAATTATCTGCTCACGCGACAGTTACGCGGAAAATGAAAGAGCACCGTGAAAAGCAGAGTTTTACCACTGTCAAGCGTGTGGCACTGTGATCATGCGGCCAAACTCTCGCTGGCGATCGTCCAAACTCCTCGAGGACGACAATGCTATATTTAAACGCATAGTCGAGGATCTTCAAGTGTAGGATGGGCCTTCGTGCTCTCGCGAGGCCGATCGGTGTCGCGCTATAGCCCTGTCAATGCGGATGTTGCGATTTAGATCGGGCTGTTCCACTTTTACGCACGAAGAAATATCGATCGGATTGAGAAATTAGGTGAACGTTCGGAATAGACGATTATATATTCTGGATTTTTATTTCGACTATGTTCGACCCATTTCCGCTTCCTAATTACGTCATTTAATATTCCTGATATATGCACGACAAGGAAAACGTGTTTCCTATATTTCTGTTTACGTGAGAACGGTATCTAGGATTTTTATATTGAATTAAAAGAACACGAAATATAGATTAGACAAAAAAAAGTCTGCATTGCAGAGTTTTAATATTTTATGTAAAGCGAAGATATCCGTGCGCGCGAGCATTTAAACTGACATATCTCTCATCTTCGATATGATTATGAAATCTCCCTGTGTTACATTTTATCAGAACTGATATAAACATAATCTGTTTAGTTATTGGAAATCTAATTCATTGCTCGTTTATATTACAGAGGAAAAGATTTCAAAAACTTTTCATAAAAGATAATAGGTATATATTATATTTATATACATATATTATCTTTTATGAAAAGTTTTTCAAATCTTTTCCTCTGTAATTTTTTTTGCGAATTACATACATAATTTAAATAATAATGATAAATTTTGTTATTCTATATATTTTTTATAGAATTAACATTTTTGTTTTGTTGTATTTTCATATTTTAATTTTTAAATGTTTTACTGTTTTTTCCATGTGTCTATAATTTTCATTGAATATATCGGCTTTTAGAATTAATTTCTCAGTTCTCTTTCATTTTTTAAAAAAAGACTATTTATTCAAAAATTTGAAACGATGATATTATTAAAGTTGTAATACGATCGGAGAGGAAGTTGTCTCTAGTAAATATTTATGTGGATGTAAATTTTCATTTCAAACTCTCAGTCAGGAATTAAAACCAATATAAGTCTTGGCATTTTTTTACGTTCTTCGCGAGAAATAAAAAAATATTATTAAAATTAATTAAACAAATTATAAAAAGAATTTATTTTTCTTTAACTAGAAAAGAAAAAAAGAGAAACATTGAATCGTACTAAATTTGAATATAGCAGTGAAGAAAAATTCCTGTAAGTAATTGCTCGATATATATTAGCCAAATAGTTGAGTTTGATTTACTACCGTCGTAATTACGCTTCAGTGTCACATTAACGATCCAAAGCATCCGAGTTACTCCGTACAACTATACAGGCATTGTCCGTATACACATATATACTCAAACGCCCGGCTATTTCCGGAAATTTCGGGATGTTACCCCTAACGTCTCAAGATACACCTGTTCAAGTGACTATAGCGGCAATATTGACAGAATGGGATGCGTCTCTTTCGCGAAGAGCAGCGCCGAGCAGCATCATCATCCGCGTGATGTCCGCATCCCGAGCCAAAAATTCGGAGCCGAAAGCTCGGCCGCAAGCTCGGCTTGAATTCAGTGACCGCGGGCGCGTTGGTCCGGCTGGTCCGATCCTTTACACCTGCCTGTGTCGAAGAAAGCGACTCATCTCTCTTTATCTCGAGAGAGAAGAGCCTGAGACGGCGTGAGATTCGCGTCCGTCAAGAGTGTTGCGTGTTACGTGTCATTATCGAGCAGCATGACTTCGGGTTGCTTTCTTCCCGAACCGGTCCATCCGCCGTTAGATCTCGGCGAACAGTCCGACACGATCAAGGTGACGAATCGCGATCTTCCGCGGGAAAAATCTCATAATCGTACACGCGACTCTTGGCCTCTTGTTTACGAATCGAGCAAAGTTTACGCGATTCGTGTAACTGCGCAAAATATTATATAAATCTTGACGAGGTTTTTTTATTCTTTTCTTTTCACGTGCGGAAAGATCGAATTCCCGTACCGATTTTTCTTATAAAACACGAAGGATCGCCGAAATATGTATTTTGCGACGAAAATCCTGGAAATTAGAAATGTGATGATTGGATATATTTTAATATTATTGGTTTTTTGAAGAAGACGAAGAGTGTCTCGTTTTGTTTGATATCTCATTCGATTATTGGATCCCCTCAACTTGTAAGAAATCATTTTATGTCACTCAAATAATGCTATTTTCGTTTGCATGTTTTATACAGAGACTTCATGTGTAATAAGTAGAATTATATTTACATTACATAATTTACATTATATTTGTCGAATAATATTCATTTTACCGAAATATAACTATATAGTTGAATATATTTTATTAATATATGTATTAATATGAAATGCAATTTATTATAAGTTATAGATATCTTTTTTGTACGTCAAATTAGACATAATTTATCAGAAAGAAATGCAAATACTTCGTAATATTATTTGAGTGGCAAATGACTATCGAAGCCCTCATTTATCATATTATAGTCTCTTGAACCTTTACTTTACAATTAATGGATATCATAAACACATCACAATTATTGTAATAAGTCATAAGTCATGCATATGATAATGAAACAGTAGTGTATAATTATCATAATATACAGACATAACTTTTAACATCGCGCATTATATTATAATAATTTATCTCATTTATTTTTAATGTTAAATATTTCAATATTTTAATTACATTAAAAATTAAAATCTTTTTAAAGTAATTTAAATGGAGAATAAGATTGCGTCATTTATTAAATCGAGAAAAAAGTAATTTTTAAAATTAAATGTATAAAATTAATGCTCTTTTTTAAGTAGATTAATTCGAAATAATAACTGCATTATTTTTCATCGTAAGAGATTATTTCGCAAGTTCTCGTTTGTAAATAAAATTTCTGTAAGTTTCGATTAAAATACACACACATACACATTTACGCACACACGCAACGATGTTATTTTGCTTTCGATCCAATATTTGCTCAATTTTCAGTAAAATTGCGTTTCCGGCAATTATCATTTTCACAAAAGATGGATATTTTGGAATAAAAAAATCCGCAATAAATTACTGAAAGAATGCATACGCTATTTTAATCTTGTGTACGAAATGCTTTGCCGCGATGCGGTATGTGTCGGGAACGTGGGTGACTGTCGTTACACAAGCACGTCGATGAGAGGCCGAAAGAAGCGGACGTCCGCGTCGGCGGAGAGATCGATATATAGAAAACACGCGTATATATATATATACACATATTCGCGATGCACGCAGCTGTGTCCTTTCATCTGCGCCCTTTCGCCCTGCGTCGCATAATCAGCTGATCCGCACGCATCGATATATATTATATATATATATTTATATATATACACGAAGCCGCGTGCGTCGCCCGGCTAAATTTAGGGTTGCACTTGCCGCATGTCCGGTTACGTAATGAACGGACCTCGTGTCGTCTGATATGTGTTTCACTTGACTTTACGACTTCTCTCTTTGCAGGGCAATGAGCATATCCGGGTGTCGAGGTTCTACAAGGAGGGCAGAGAGGGCAAGTTCATTACCTTTCTGTACGAGGATACGCGCACCCTCTACGACGGTTTCCGTCGCGGCGCCAAGGAATCCAGTGAGTCATTATTTTCAGAAGCAACATATACACCCTCGTTCGCTCTATTATAATCATTGAAAATTGAAACAGTCACATTTTCCCATTCGAAACGTGTTAATTAAAGTTATGTGGCGTTTAATCGATTCCCTTACCGCCAAGTTCGACCGATATGTGTCTAACAACGTCGCGTTTACTTAACGTGTCGAAACGATGAAAATTGAGTGAGAGAGAATAACTCAAGGAGACAGGCGGGTTTAAGGAAAATCGTCATAAATCTCGACGTTTACGCATATACCATCCGCGTGCGCAATTGCGTGTATATCGCGCGGCGATTTAGCTGGTTTGGCAAGCGCTATAAAATGCGTAAACAAGCGCGGCAATTCTTAACGAGCGGGCGCGGGCTTAACGGGCGGGAATTATCGGCCCCTCATCATTTCGAGATTCGACGACCTTTCCGACGAAGGTTGACACCAGTTTATTTCGGGCACGTGTATACGTCTTTTATATTTTCGCCTCGTCGCGCGAAAACCCACGCCCGCGCGACGCCGACACCTGTCGCAGACCTTACGCGACCTATAACGATGACGACGTTAATAACGACGGCAAGCGAGTCCGAAGATCGATAATCTTGCCGAGGTTCTCCCTCGCTTATGACAATCGAACGAGAAAATCTTGCGCGACCAGTCCAGCTCGCCACGTGCGCTATATATCATTTATTCCTCCCATGTGGCTTTAGATTCGCGAGAGAGAAACTTTTTTTCCCACCCGACTAGAAAATTAACAAACTTATGAGACTCTGGAAATACAGTTTTTAGCGTAAACGATGGTTTGAACAATTATAAATAATATTTGATTATGTATCGTTTCAATAATTAAATAATTGAAAGAGATTTCTGAGACTTGGAGAACACAAATTTAGATTCGGTAGAGTGAAAGTTTTTTCCTACCCGATTAGAAAATTAAAAAATTTATGAGACTCTGGAAATACATCGTTTTTAGCGTAAACGATGGTTTGAACAATTATAAATAATATTTGAATATGTATCGTTTCAATAATTAAATAAATGAAAGAGATTTCTGAGACTTGGGGAAGACACATTTTTAATACAGCTAACAATTATAAATAACATGTAAATATTTATTGTATAAATAATTGATATCTGTATTAATAAGACACTTTGCATTTTATCGAAGAAAATACGTTTTCTTTATCAAATTCTCCTTGTGAGATAAAATTTTATCTCCTTTTGTTTGCGAGGAATAAAAACAAAAATGATTCAGTCTGGAGAGATTTGATTTTACCTTCTCAGAGCAAACTTGGGCAGCAAACAAAAATAGTGAATTACTTACAAGATACTCTCTATGGTTTCCCTATATATTTTCAAAGATTCATAATTTCTTGAATTTCCGAGAGTTGAAGATTGTACATTAGTAATCAAATATAAAATCCTGTTCCAGATATTACAAGAATTTGCGAAAAGAATAAAAACGTCCTCTCTTAAATCGATTTCATGAAATGTAATAATGTAACAAAAAGCTCAATTAAAGTCAATTTTTAAAAATATGCCACAAATTACATATATTAGCTTTATATATTAACTTTTAAATACATATAATAACTTTTTTATCAAACATTTAATAAAGCTTTTTATTTTTTGTTGCATAGACGGCCACGTAAATCTTAATTGATCTCATTATAAAAAATATTCTAGACAAAATTTGTCAATTCTGCGCTGACGTAATTATTTCCTTTCACCCAAATATGACATTCTTTTCACTTGCAGATAATGGTCCTTGCCTCGGGTGGAGAGATGGGCCCAACAAACCCTACCAATGGCTTCATTACAACGAGACGCTGCTCAGGGCGAAAAATTTTGGTTCCGGCCTAGTGTCCCTAGGGCTGGTCCCTGGTCCACAAACCTTAGTAGGCCTGTACAGTCAGAATTGTCCCGAGTGGATTCTCACCGAGCAGGCATGCTACACGTACTCGCTCGTGGTGGTGCCATTGTACGACACCTTGGGCCCGGACGCTTGTGCGTATATCATCAATCAGACCGAAATTAATCTGGTGGTATGCGAAAATGACCAAAAGTGCAATTTGCTCCTCGACAAAGCACCGAGGTACGTGACACTTTTGAGAATTCTTTCAAACTCGTACTAGGGTGTTAAGAATTAAATCTTAACTGTAATTAAGATCTTCTCAATCTAAAATTGTCCTCTATATAGTTCTTTGAATAATTATAACTCTATTCAATTATCTCCATTTAAAATACGTATCACTTAATTTTTCTCTACTTATTTATTTTGTCAGTTAATTGGTTTAATTATCAATTGTTCAAAATGTTAAGCAGTATGCAAAAATGCAAACGCATACAGCAACGGAAAAAAATTAGTCATCATTAGTTAAATTGTAGTTGTCCCTATATTACAATCTGAAATTTAATTATCATGTCTAAATTTTATATGGTAACTAATATTTTTTAGCTGTAGCTTAACGGAGAATTTTTTAAAAAATATTAGTTGTCATAGCTAAAATTTAAGCATGATAACTAAATTTTACGTGTAATATAGGGACAGCTGAAATTTAATTATTGTGATTAATTTTTTTTCTCGCGAACGTTCGACATTCTCATGGAAAATTTATTTTATATAATTATATGTAATCTGAAAATATATAATATCGCTTGCTATTATAAATATGAAATATACGCGCTCTTAAAAATTAAGTAGAATTTAATTTAACATACTAATGAAAGAATCGCACATAATGTAATTTCGTCCTCGCTGATATATCGATTGCATATTAGATATCAGATATAATTTATGCATAAATGTATAATTAGGTCATAAGGAATAACTTCTTTTTATAAGTGGCGAATATAGAGAGAGAACCATATTACTATAATTACGAAATAATATTCAGAAAAAAAAGGAATTCTCATTTCTTTTCATTGCGCAAAATTCATACGCTTAAAAATACACGCAAAGTATTTCAATCATCGCACTTATTAATAGCGACACATTAATGGCGCTTTAATTGCACGTCCTTTGACATATTTTCTAGAGAGGAGAATCTATATTTTACCAATACCTCATAACAAAGTTTTCGTTTTATGACGCAACGTCACGCAATGTCACGAGACGTGGTCAACACGAGATTCGAAGCGTCGGTTTTCTCAAAGAAAACGTTTTCAAAAGCGCGATGTTGAAAGTGTTAATTTGTAACGATGCCAAGAGCCCGCGAGAGCTTTTATATGTATACACACAAAGCTGACGCTTCCTGGACCGCGAGAGAAAGCCTCTCTCTTCTCGTAAAAAAATGCCCGCCATTATTTCAACATTTCCTCGAAACCTCCCTTATATATATCGCAGGTGTTTGCGGAAGCTGGTGGTGATGAAGGAGACCCGGCCGGCGACAAATCAACGGGCGAAGAACCGCGGCATCGAGCTCTACTCGTTCGAGGATATCGAGCGTTTGGGCGCCCAGAAGAATCATCCGGAAGTGCCGCCTAAGCCGTCCGACCTCTGCACGATATGCTACACATCCGGCACCACCGGCAACCCGAAGGGCGTCATGTTGACGCATCAGAACATCATGGCGGCTAATTGCTCGGTGCTACTGCAACTGGGCGATCACGGGCTTACGAGCAAGGACGTGATGATCAGCTTCCTGCCGTTGGCCCACATGCTGGAACGCTGCTGCGAGAGCACCCTGTACATGGTGGGCGGCTCCGTCGGCTTTTACTGCGGCGACATCAAGAGGCTGGCTGAGGACATGAAGGCCCTCAGACCCACTATCATACCGGCCGTGCCTAGACTGCTGAATCGAATGTACGACAAGGTGAGCAGATTCAGTCGAGTTTCTCTCGTCATTCGAATGTCAGACATTTCCCCGGTAACACATTTTTTTTATATATAACAATATAAAATTATATAGAAATATAGAAAATTATACATATAATCGCAAAATTATATATTAAATATGTCCATACATAATTAAATAAAAGTGTTTTTTATATAATATAAATAAGTATTTCTTCATATATATAAATATATATGTTTCATATATAATTTTACATAATTATATATGAACCCTGATAATTTATATATAAATTTATGTATATATGTAAAAATAGACATATTTTATATATAATTTTACGATTATATGTATAATTATACAATTATTTATATATAATTATATATAAAAAATTTTTCCCGGGATGTCAGAAATTTTCTATAGAATTGCGAATCGAAGGAGCGTTATTTATCACCATTGAGTCACGCGACTGATAACTTATTCATATTAAACTTTTTAATATAGCGACAGAACGATATACTCATTATTCTCGAGAGAGCGGAAAGATACTAGGATGTTATACATATATGTATATTTAATCGTGAAGATGAAAGAAACGACGAGGAAGAGGGACGAAAAGTGTAATTTTCCAGAAAAAAACATACGCTTTATGACTTTTTACGAGATGAATATTTGTACTCGCATTCTGTTTATGTCTGGATATTTACTATTTAATCTTCTTTTCTGCAATATCGTGTGATTGTGTTCTCTTTATCATGGTTTATTTTTCAAATGATTTATTATTGTTGTTCGTTTGTATTTTTCGTCCATTTTATTTTTGGTTCGCACTTTTGGTCGACCGCAGAATTTGCATGATATAAATGTGTTATTGTCATGTATCATGTTTTTTGACATTCTCGCGGTTACAAAAATCTTATTATATTTATGTAGATATATGAATTCCATTGGATTATTCGAAATGTACATATTTTTATAGTTGTTTATGGGCGCATGGGATAAAAAATATAAATAACTATGAACATTCATTTCGAATAATTATATTTTTTAAACAGTCCAATTGATTCAACGTATTAAGAAAGTTCTTGTTTTGATTAGATAATCCGTGTTTACACTTTTACGATAAGCATTATGTTCATTTATTTTTAGAAGTCATTGACATAATGTGACTGCTTTGTCTTCTCTTAATTTAGATGTTACAAAAATAGTCCCGAAACATTTAATTTTGTTGTATTATATTTTTAATAAAAAAAATCAGCATGGTAAATTTTGCAAACGAGAAACAACAATATCTTTTATGTGACATTATGATGATTTCCGTTAAGTTAATTAAAATATTTATATTTTTCTATTATTAAGTCTATATTTTTCTTTAACTTGAAGGAGTTTAGAGTTTCCTTGCATACTTTCATTTAACATAATTACTATTATTAGCATATGGTCCATTGTGTTAAACGGAAGTTGCGTGTTCTTGGACACCTCTCAATATATTTTTACGGCACGACGACAACGTATTCTGACATTAAACCTAAATAACTTGCCTAAATAAAATCGTTTTTTCCATATGTATAATGTTTAGCAGCAAAAACATCATTAACAAATCTTGATGCAATTTATAATTTATGCTATCTCCTCCCGAAACAATATACAATAAAATATTATAAATATATATTATTCTTATAAATATTTATGAAAATAAGATATATATTTTATAATTATATATTAAAATTATAAAGTATAAACATATTTTACTTTTGACAGAAATATTAATCTTTTTATAAAAATGTAAGAGAAATATTTTCGCTCTCCCTCGTCTTCTTGAATTTTCTAAAATTAGTCCTTAAAGGTGGTATTATTGGGCATCATTATTGCAATTCCCAATCGTAATCTCACTTGGCGCGTCTCGCGAAATTTCTCGCGGCTACGCAATAATTCATGACGTGCCAGCGGGTTTCGCTGTATCGCGAAAATGAGAGGAACAGGTGCGGAATCGATTCTGCGACGTAATTCTGACGTTTTCGTCTGAATGGGGCACACGCGCGCAAATGTATCATTGAATTACGTATTGTGCTGTATCTTTTGTCGCGTGCGTCGAGATGTCTCTTCTGATTACTCTGAACTTTGAAAAGCAAAAGAAAAAATAGGGATGCAAAGCGGATTCCGCCACTGATTGCTGAATAAAATTTAATAGATGAGTCACGTAACTGATTATTACAGTCTTCATATGCCTGATTTCGATAAAAAAGCGAATAAATTCGAATTTTCTCGAGCCTCTCTGTTTCCGATATCGCGGAATGATAAATTTATTTATTAGCGTTTGCCGATTGATGTGACAGCTGTCTAAATAGACCTTCTTCTTCTTCTTCTTCTTCGTTTTATCTTAATCCCCTATAATAATAATAAAAGTATCCTACACCAGGCGATCAAAATTATCGAGAAGCAATAACGTCTTGATGACGCGAGGGAAAATATTATCGCTTATAAGTGAGAAATATGTATGGGAGATATTAATAATATATAGCTGATTGTGACGCATTTCGTATGAAAGTACGGGTTTACTGTAAAAAAAAAAAAAAGAAGCTGGTATAGAAAATACAATCTAAAAATAGAATATACACGGAAAATGTTTGCGTCATCCCGCCCTTTTTCAACCTATCATTATTTTGTTCCTAATTCCCGATTACGTGTCTGCAGGTGCACAACGAGCTTCGCAGCTCGTTTCTGAAGAGAATGATCTTCAACATGGGTATGCGAGCGAAGGAGACGGAGATCAAGAAGAGTATCGTCAGGATGAACAGTATATGGGACAAGATCGTATTCAGGAAGATCCAGGACACGATGGGCGGCAGGTTGAGACTGATGCTCGTGGGTTCCGCGCCTCTGGCCGGAAACGTGCTTACGTTCACCAGATGCGCCTTGGGCTGCCTGGTGGTCGAGGGTTACGGTCAGACGGAATGCACCGCGCCAATAACGCTTACTATTCAGGTTCGTGTGGACAACAGTATATTTATATGTATATGTATGTGTGTGTGTGTGTGTGTGTGTCAGTCGTTGAAATCCCGTTTTCGCGGATTTTATGACCGTCAGTCGTAAATTACCGGTGTTGATTTCTACTAAGTTGTCGAAGAATAAATTTAAAGAGAGAGTGCGATGTCAAAATACGTCGTAACGGTTGGATCTTTGTATACCCTGCGTCACTCTTTGTGCCTGTCATCGTACTAATAAATCTACTCGTACTTGAATATATTTCATTTCCTTTCATTGCATTTTTTTATTTTATTTTTTATCCATTTTCATTTTTATAGCATTTTATTGATTTACTTTATTTTCTTAATATTTTTTTTTCTCTGAACCAGTGGAGAATTCATAAGAATACAATTGTGCAAGTTTTGTTATATTCTTGGGAAAAAAAGTGAAAAGCATTTGGTGACAGATATACGTCAGTTAAAGCTGTTAATATCCTCGGTAGCAATTTTAAAGAAAAAAATACGTAAATATAGATGTGTATATACGTGTATTAGAGACCTTTAGATCATAGCATAGCTACTAACAGCGGTTATGTGAGCGGGTCGATAAATGCTCCGCAAATACATTTTTTAAAACCAAGTCTGATAAGCGTGTTATATATAGATTATGCATAGCAGTGTAGATAAGTAAACTTTGAAGTAACGCATAAAGTTTTTTCTTATATAATTCATATGCAGCTGTATATATATGTCGTATATGTATATGTACGTGTTCATTCATTAATTCATTTATTTATATATTATTTAGTTAGTTATTTATTTATGGCGAAATATCTCTATCACCTTTATAAATGCGCGAAACTGTCTTGAAAGACAACCTCTACAAAGTCGCGTGACAAGTTTATCGTATTACTGATGAAATATAGAGAATTTTATCGGTCTTCCACCAATGTTAAACTCAAAACCAAGTTCGTGAAAAGCAAATATCATGCCTCATCGAACGCCGTTTGGCACTGCGACAAAATGAACATTATGCGGAAAATTTAATACAGATATAGATCTTCATTGTGAGAAATTCCGTAAATTCTTCACGCGTGCTCAAAGCTCAAACATTTAATCAATAATCGATCTGTGCACAATTATCGAGTTTTTCAGAAATAAATAAATCATGATGTTCGATATACATCGCGTTCATTGCATCATCATTTAATTCCATTGAATCATGAGAAAACACGCGAAATCAATATTATCTCTAACATGATAATTTCCAAACATATCGATCGCACATGTTACATGAACGAATATTTTATATGAAGAAAATTTCCGACGAAACCTAGATAGATAGTCACCATTAAATAAATTAATACATTTATAAGATTTTATTATAAACTTGTAAAAGCTTAGACAAGGATAGTTTGAAAAAAACATAATCATCCACAACTGAAAAAAAATTATTAAATTAATGAATATTTATTTCAATTACTGCCTAATAATCATTTATTTGAAACAAATAAATATTTATCTGTTTTGAAAAGGATTTCCTTGTATCAAATAAATATTTTTCACATCAAATCAATATTATTAGTTTCATATAAATGATTTATTAGGCAGTATTAAAATTAATATTTATTCGAGTTCAATAAATTTTTTTTCAGTGCAAAAATTAATACTTGGTTCTTTACTACATATTTATAAAAATATGCAATTATGCGTAACTTTTTAACAGACTGCGAAAAGTTAGTATAGTAAAATGTCCGTAACATTTTTTTGTAGGCACTTATTTACATTTACATTGAATACGTGTCTCTACGCTTTTATATCTCTAATCGTCGACCCTTAAAATTTATTCAATTCCTCTTTGTTTTTTATTAGTTGAATTTATGCTAGAAATACCATCTCTCTCCTCCCTCTCTCTTTATAATCAATAATTTATTTAAGAAAATCTCTAGGGAAAAAGAAAACGACAGAACGGCATTTATTGTTGACTGATAAATGGCGTTCAAAATATTGTTTTTATTGAAGACTGACTAATAATCAAGTGATGTGTCCTCTCTATTCTTAGCGCGTCTGCGAGATATCGACATAGCTGTATAGTCGCGCGCGCGTGGTTGCAGATATTTCTGTCATCGAATCAAATGGCTTTAGAGCCATGTGCCAGGGCACGTGGTACGCCACCTCTAGAGACAATTAACTATTGACTGTACCTCGCATTTCATCATAAAATTCATCGATCCATTAATATATACCATGTAACGTATCTTATAGATATTATATACGTGGCACACGTGCAAAATATTCACTGATAAATTTGATTTATTCAAATTGTATATTCTCTCTGTGAAAAATAGATAAGGATTCTTTTTTTTGTTATTATTAATTCAATCTGTAAATTTAATTAAAAAATGTTATGCAGGGCGATCACGTGCCGGAACATGTGGGACCACCGGTGGCTTGTTGTTGCATCAAGCTCGTCGATGTTCCGGAGATGGAATATTACGCGACGAATAATCAGGGTGAGGTGTGCGTCAAGGGTAGCAACATTTTCATGGGATATTACAAGGATCCTGAAAAGACTGCCGAGGTAATCGATGAACAGGGATGGCACCACACAGGAGACATCGGCATGTGGCAGCCTGTGAGTGATCACATTTCATATTGTCGCGAATTTTTATTTCTTCTTTCGAGCTGATCAATCCTTATTCTTACAGATTTTTATAATATATATAAATCACGTATTTTTCCTATAGATATTTTTTATATATATAATATATATGTAAATAATATATTTTTCTTACATTCTCTTAAAATTACTTCCAGAACGGGACGTTAAAAATAATTGACCGGAAGAAGCATATCTTCAAATTGTCGCAGGGAGAGTATATCGTGCCGGAAAAGATCGAAAATATCTATATACGCAGCCAATATGTACAACAAGTATTCGTCCATGGAGAGTCACTAAAATCTTGTATTATAGCAATAGTAGTACCAGAAGTAGACGTAGTCAAGTGCTGGGCAGTGGAGAATGGTATACCCGGCACATTGAGCATCTTGTGCGTCAATCCGGAAGTAAAAAAACTAATCATGGATGATATGCTAACGTGGGGAAAAGAAGCTGGTCTCAAATCCTTCGAACAGGTAAATTATCGTTTCTTATTATTCTTTTCTATCGGGGTGTTAACTTAAATTTTGTAAAAAAAAAAAAAATCCTTGAGAATTCTCTCTTCTCTCTTCTCGATGAGAATTTTCGTTTAAAATTTCAGGTAAAATAAGAATATTTATAGATACAGCTTTTTTCTTTATTGCATACGCGTTTAAATGTTTTCTATTCATATGATTAGAAAGTTATCAAGAGTACAATTTTTCTAGCATTTAATATTGATTAATTGTAAAATTAATTTGGACAATAATAAAAAGTGCGATATATCATTACATTTAAACGCTAAAAATATATACAAGAATATAAAATTAAAAAAATAGAAACAAAAAATAATTTAAATTAATTATTTATCAAATTAATATTTACTTATTTATTAAATAAATAAGAGGTATACTAAATTTATTACCTACTAAAACTGAACAATTTTTATGAAACTTGCATAAGATCTTGATACTGAAATAGATCGTTAATAAAAGAATTACAAATAAAAATTTAAATATTGCAAAGATATTAGACATATATTTCTTAAGTATTAAATAAGAGTAAAATTATCAAAAGGCAATTTTTTTAAAATTCCCTGAACTCCAATCAAATTTTATGAGAATTCCCTGAATTTCCAAGGAGAAACAAAATATCCTGACAATACCATTTTCAAGGTTTTTCTCGAAAGCACACCCTGTCTATTCTCTTTTTCTTATTTGAGTGATTGAAGGAGAGAGATTGCTTTAGAGTCGCATTCTATTTTAATAAAAATAAAAGTCAAGGTTCGAAAAGTTTAAATATGAAATTTAAAAGTACGACGATAATTTGAGAATTTAATAAGAATATTTTTTAAATTATTCTCGCACCTGAAAGATATTTATAATTATACATATATTTTGCAGGTGAAAGATATTTATCTCCATCCAGACCCGTTCTCCATACAAAATGGGCTTCTAACACCAACGTTAAAATCGAAACGGCCTCAACTGAGAGCATATTTCAAGCCACAGATAGAAGATCTGTATCAACACTTGGACTGACCAGACTGAGCGATTTCGTACTATCGCTCGCCTGCACCAGCACTGATCTTAAAGAAAAAAGTGATGATAGAGAAGGAAGCAAAGCGCCTTTCCTCGCCGCCGCTGCCTCTCTCATCGAAGTCACTATTGTCATCGAAAATATTCGTTAACTCTCGATACTTTTATTATATATCATTTTCACAGGTACATTAGGGGGTCGCAGACAAAAGCACCGTTTAGGCTAATTAAATGATAAAACATTACAAATAATAAAGGGAGTTATTATTTAGGCGCGTCTAGTTTCTCTCATTCTTTCTCTCTTTCTCAATTACAAAGGATCCTTTGATACTTTCGGTGATGGATATATGTACGACTCGATCCTTCTTTATCCACGTAAAACTCAATAATGTACACGCGGTGACCGTTGTTATTCTCGTATAAGAGATAAATTAGAGAATGCATTTTTAATTGATAGAGTCCGTCAATGAACTCGCTCGATTACGGCTCAGGTCAAGGTTACAACAATTATACGTAGTCGTTAATTCGAAGGGGTAATATTTCAATATACCCGATAGAGAGTCGGCGCGCACAACAACGTCGAAAAAAAACCTTGATATTATTTAATAAATATATTTCTTGTTGGAATATATATTTTGTGGTTCGGAGTATCTTTTCGAAACTTGAAACGTAGAGCAAGTGTTTACCACCGATCTTCCAGATATGACGTTAACGAGATAACAATATAGAAGCGATTTTACGATTCTTTCTGCCATACGAAAATAATGCATTTGATAATCGAATGAATCAGTGATTCAGATAGATACTAATTATCTTTATCGCGCAGATAGGAAAGAATTGCGAAACCGCTTTATAAGATTTATCTTCCTACGAGAATGGGTCAATATTTTTTTATATAAGACTTTAAATAACACTGAACGGGAACTTTTGTTCTTGTTTGATGACACTTTGCCAGTTTTGTACTCGTTTGCTATGTTGGTTTTTTTTCGTCTAAAGATCAAAGTCAGATCATTCAGTCGTTCAATGTCGATTGGATAAATTGATGAGAAAATATGTACATATAGCAAAGATCGTATCTCGTGGCAAAATGTAACAAACAAGTACAAAATAGACGATATAGACGATATAGATATATATATAATATAATAATACATAATTACTTAACCTCGCAATTTGATAGAAATAACATTTTCAAGTCTCTGATTTCAAATAAATATGACTTCCAAATCACGTCTGGTGGATCTGGCTGAAGAGAATACATATCTCTGTTCTCTTTAACTCTTAAAACTATAATATATCACAATGCACGCGACAATTATCAGTACTAATACTACCGCTGCTAAAATAAATCTCTGTTGGAGGCTCCGAAAGATCATCCCTGATAATAATCGAGAGCCACGTCCCAACTCTGCATCCGTTTCCCGTAACTTGAAAACGAGGGACGAGATATTATTATGGGTTAACATTTATTATTTTATACTTTCTTCGATTATGGCACGTCGTCTTTCATGCTTTATACACGCTTCAATAATTGTACAATTAACGACTTACCCTCCCTCTGCTCCGCTGTATCGTTTCTCGCTGCTCGTGAAGATCCTTTAGTACCTGAGAACCGATTTCCTCCGTTTCCAATGCCATACGATAACCATTTTGTAACGTGCGTCCCGATCGTTCTATCCTCTCGGATGCGTCCAGCAGTCTTTTTCTTTGATCTTCCGTCACGTTGTTGTCCCAAGACTCGTCCACCGTAATCTCCACTGAGTCATCCTTTGGTTTCTTCGCCGTTTGAAATTCTTGCGTTAGGCGTTTCAATTCCGCTCTGTGACTTTCCACGCGACCGCGCAGACGATCGCGAGCGGTTCCGTTTATCCCACGAACCTCCAGCTCCATTTGCTCCAGCTGCAAATTAAATAGGTTCTGATCTGAGGCAAATATTTTGTAATGAAATATTGCAAATGAAGAAGAGATAAAAAAACATGTTCCGATGACACATAATTGTTCCTGATTCTATTGATCTTTTTATAGCCTATCCTAATTCTTTTTTCTTAATTTTGTTGCTTTATTAAAATCCGACTTTTTACTAATCCAAATTTAATTAAACGTTTTTTATATACTTTTTATAATATTTAACTTCAAATATTTTTGTAAAAATTTATCCACAAGTATAATTCTTAAGTATAATTATTTTTGTGTAAAATTTATAAAGCTGAAAATTCCAAGGTTTTCAATCAATGAACTCAGAAACAATTCAATATACTTTTGTTTGACAACCTGCTGAAAAATTAGTTTAACTGTTCCGTGCATCATAATATATGAGAAGCACCTGTGATCTCATTTAAATTTTTAGATTATTCATGCGGAATACATTATTATTCCTCATGCACTTCAATCATTATGTAAATAAATCTTTCAACGATCAATACATAGACCTGAATGCAAAAAAAAAACATTTAACGTCGTATATACTTTTTAAATGTATATTGCGTTAATTTCTTATGAAGAAAAATTCTTATAAAAAAAAGTGTATGCAATTTACACAAAATACAAAATAATTTTCTAACCCTACACGACACATTTTTCGACAATCGGCAAAAATGAGATCTTCAAGGCACTTCGTTTACACGTTTTAATATATGTAAAAGAGAGAAACGTAAGATTTAATTACCAGTTCCTGAGCTTCTTCAATTTGCCGGTCCACATCCTGAATAAAGGCCCTTTTCTCACCTGTAAATTACGTCATGTGTATCGATTATTATCGTTCTTATAAAGGCCGCGTCTTGTGTGGCGGTCCAACACGTTGTAAAAGCGTTGTAAAGCAATCATTATGACGCATTTAATCGCGCCTCGATAATTTCTTACCGCCGCTCTGGATTCTAATCCGACCGATTTTTGCGGTGATGTCAGCTGTCAGAACAGCGTACTGCTGTTCGTAGTTGTCAATGAGCGACGCCATCTTGGCTTACGAATGTTCCATTGACTATCCGATGCAAATCAGATGGCGATTCCGTCCCAACTGCGCGATAAAAGCCGTATCGCAACGGAGAAAACCGAATGACAGATAAAGGAGATATAATCTTCCTCTGGATAAAATAGTCCAGGAAGTCTTTTAAGATGTAAATAATATTTTTTAATCTATTTTTTTTACATTTATTAAACAGAGAATTAATAAGTCAAATTACTCGCGAAATCGATAAAAAATAAGACCAAACGTCAAACTCAAATATATCTCGAAGTTTATTTCTTAGGATAAGTTTGTTTTTCTGAATCAATATCTTAAATAACTTTTCCTTAAAATAAAAATTGTTGAAACTTATACATATATATGTTTTTATAAATAATGCTAAAAATATATATAACTTACCTCTCGAAAAAGCCGCAATTTTCATGCACAGTTATTTCTCATTTGACACTTGAAATACATTTTTGTCACTTTTATCACGTCGCTCTCGAGCTTAAAGACGGAATTAAAGAGAACAGACTCGTATCTTGGAATTTTTAAATGCGGTAGGGGAGGGAGGAAAAAATATATCGCTTCTGGAATTTGAGAAATCTGGCCACGAAAGCGACACGTCATATGACTCGTGCGCCAATCGTGGCCGAAATCTTGCGCGTTCGGCCAATCGGCGGATGTTGTCAACCGGCTTCCAGCCGAGCGCAGTCGGTCGACAACCACCGACGACGACGACGACGACGACTCGATTCCACCGTCGTCGACAATCGCGATGAAGATGGCCGCCGAGGTGAGGTGGCTCCTGGCTTTTCTACTGTCATGCGTCGTCCCGTTTTGCCGCGGCGAGATGCCGCATCGGAAGTTCGAGTACAAGTACTCGTTCAAGCCGCCGTACCTCGCGCAAAAGGACGGCAGCGTACCGTTCTGGGAATACGGCGGCAGTGAGTATACACCTGTAAATAACCTAATCGTGGCATAACCTAACCAGGGCACCGACACCTGTCGCTCCCGACAGATCTCCCGTATGTTATGCTCGCGTGTCAATTTATGACAATTCACGCAGATGGAAATACGTCGTTCTTTTTCTACTTCCTTTTTTCAACCTGCCGCTTTGATCCCGATCTCCTTGTTACATCAGCTGACACATAATATATAACGTATTGTCATCGCTCCGAGAGAGATCAAAACACGTGTGTACGTACGCGTTATTTCTCTTGAATGTGTATAAAAAATAATGTTAAAGTGATGTTTAATCTTGTATTAATGTCTAAGAGACATGTATAATTAGTTTTTTAAGACAGATACTCGTCATCAGTGAGTGTTTGCTTCTTAATAATTGTTTAGTTGGATGGAATTTTTTAGTTTAGAATCAAGTTATTTTTAATGAAAGAAATGAAAATATATATACTGAAGTATTATGTAGTGTTGAGAAAAAATGTTCTTGTATTTCTAATAAGATATTCATTATGAAAACATTACTAAATATGTTGATATTAGTAAACATATGTTTTATGACTTGTCTTATCAAAACTACTTCCCGCTACTTTCTATTATTTTATATATGTGATTTTAGATATAATATATATATCTGTATAAAAACTGATACATATTTAATGTAAATACATGTATTTGTGTGTGTGATAAATGGTTTTCTTAAAAAAAAAAAAAATATTCATTTACATTTTTAATTATTTTACAGATACCATTGCTAATGCAGAAAATGTCAGAGTAGCACCATCACTTAAAAGTCAAAAAGGTTTGTATATAAATCTATGTATATTCATCTATAAATTTTTCAATATTAATTTAAAATGTTTCTTAACAAAAACCATTACTAATTGTAAGAAAAGCTTTAATAAATATTTTATGAGAAAAAAATATTAAATTTTATTATTATTATAAAGAAAAAGGTGGAAATATTTAAATATATTTTTAATTTTTAAAAATACTTGAAATTTAAATTTAACTATATTATTAAAATTGACAGAGTTTATAACAACAAGAAAGTAAAATAATTTTATGTTTAGGTGCAATATGGTCAAAGCAGCCAATAACTTTCGATTGGTGGGAAGTAGACTTAGTATTCCGTATAAGTGGACGGTCAAGGATAGGAGCAGATGGTTTAGCATTCTGGTACACGACTGCCAAAGGAGCCTACAACGGCACTGTTTTCGGCAGTTCGGATCTTTGGACAGGCCTGGGAATTTTCTTCGATTCGTTCGATAATGACAATAAACATAATAATCCATATATTATGGCTGTTATTAACGATGGCACAAAGATCTTTGATCATGCAAAGTAAATTATATTTTAATCATTTAATTAAATTATATGATAATTATATTATATTATATAATATATATATATATATATATTTTTTTTAAATTGTATTTGACTTAAGTTTGCACATGTGAAATATTCAGAGTATTTAATTGTACATAATCCTGTTTTATCTCATTTCGAAATAGTGATGGCTCTACGCAGCAGTCGGCAGGTTGTTTGCGAGATTTCCGCAATAAACCGTTCGCTACGAGAGCGCGAATAGAATATTATAAAAATACGTTAACGGTACGTATACTTAAATTTTCTAATAAAAATTTTAACTTCCAAATTTTCTTTTAAAAATCTAATTTTCTAATTTTTATATTTAATTTTTATTTCGACTGTTTGTCTAATTTATGTATTTCTATTCAAGTTGCTGTTTCATAATGGTATGACAAATAGTGATCAAGATTACGAAACGTGCTTTCGGCTTGATAACATCGTATTACCGAGAAATGGATACTTTGGTGTTTCCGCTGCAACTGGTATGTTAACATAAAAAAAAAAAAATGAGCCATGGACGAGAATATAATATATTTTGTATCTATCTAGGTGGCTTGGCCGACGATCATGATATCTTACATTTTCTAACCCTTTCTCTGTATCCTCCCGGACAGTTACCAGTTGATGGGCATAAAGTTTCTTTAGAGGAACAGGCTAAGCTTCAACAGGAATACTTAGACTACCAAAAGAAACTAGATGAACAGAAAGAGGAATATCGCAAGTAAAAACTCATTTTCATAAATACCTATGAATGCAATATCACATTGCATAAATCTAAATATTCAATGTGATATTTTGACAGAGAACATCCAGATAAGTTTAACAAACAGGAATACGAAGAATACTATGAAACCGAAAGCCAGAAGGAATTACGGCAGATATTCAATGGACAGAGTCAAATGTTCGATGCCTTGCGTGAACTTAACAAGAAATTAGATGAAATCGTTGGAAGGCAAGAGAGAGCATTAAGCTTGATATCACAAATTCAACCGGGTCAAGCAGGTAAATCGTTCGTTATAATTATATTCTTATAATTTGCATCAGAATAACATATATTAACAAATCTAATTTAAATTCATTAGTTATGAACGGTCAACCAGGACAGCAACCTGTACTGATTGACACCATACGCCGGCAGGAAGTCGAGGCTGTACTGAATAATCAAAATATCATAATAAATGCAGCCAGTGAGATTAGGTCATTTATGGGAGAACTTCATACCAAGACTGAATCTATTCTTAACAATCAAGCGCGCGCTCCGACAGCACAGGTTCGTATTATTTACTTGTATATAATAATAATAATAATAAAATAATAGCTCACAACTATCTTATAACATTAATAAATATAATCTCATGCACAGGTGCAACCAATGGGATATGATCAGCAGTCGTTTATGGCAGAGATACGAGATGGGATAAATTCGTTAAAAAAGATGCTAAAACCACGGGAAATGCAACAGATTGTCCTAATTGTCTAACAACCAGCATGTTCTTGCTGTTCATCGCGATACAAATGATAATATTATTGGTGTACAGCATTTACCGGTAATTATACATATATAATAGAGTCTTAAACACAGATAAACATAATGCTAATTCTATTTCTATTCCACAGGGACAATAAAGAGGCGCAAATGAAAAAACTTTATTAAGGTACACATTATTCGCGGCCGGAATTAACAATATATTCTTATTTGTGAATTATGTGACTCAATATTTTTATTATTCGTTTATTCATATTCGCGATCTGCATGTTTCTCAACATTTGTATAATAAATACATCTTTCATCTTTGTCAGATTGATCTGAAATTGTACAATCGAATATTGCTCTACAAGAGGATAAAAAAAGACAATCTCACATCGATGTGACCCATTATTTTAATTAAATATTTCCATTTAAATGGGAAAAGTTATTTCCATATACATAATAATGACACAATTATAGTCATCGTCGATACAATTGTAGTCATTCTATTTTGGTAGAATATGTTTGGATGAATAGAGGAACAATTACAATTAAAAATTACTTATAAATGAGTAAATCTTATAATTTTAAGAATTAATTAAAGATTATGAGGTTCACGAGATATTTTCTTGTATATCATTATATATATACATACATATATATGTATATATATATATTTTTTATTGTCGAGATTGTCACGAACATGTTTATCATTACACGTAAATTGTTTTAAAATTTCATATGTAATAGCTGTATTGATTACTCTCTCGCGCAACTATTTTTCATGTAAATTTTTGTACGATATTTTGTATTACGCATTTAGTACTTGAATATATATATAATTTACGTTATTCATAAGAACTGTTTGAGATCATTCGGCTGCGAATCGATTGCCACTAGTTGGAGGGAAGAATTATATGGTGAAGCTTGCAACCCCCCATTATACAATAATGTGATCATTCGATTATTCCATCAGAGGTTGTAAAATAATATTATGCATCCGAATGTGCATTCGTATACTTAACAATTTATCTTGTCACATCATAAAGTTGATCGTATGCAACGACTGCGTTTTTGAAGCTATAGTAAGAACTCTATTGTATGTATTGTATGTATGCAAGATGTATGAGTAGTAGTGATAGTATATATACAGGAAAATGGGGAATTTATAAGTTCGTTGTTCTCTCCACATCATTGCATTTGTAAAAGTTTATTGAATATTGTAAAGATGATATATCTGATAATGAAAATACAAAAATATAAAAACGAGAAAGTGTTTAAAAATATTATGTGAATATATATAGAATAGAAATATTTTAATATATTATATATATATATATATATATATATATATATATATATATATATATATATATAATATATATTAAAATATTTCTACTCTTTTGCGTGTAGATATTCAATATTTTACTGTAACTGAAAAGTTATAACTAATTGTAATTATTATATTTGTTCTGTTCTTTGTAATACTATTATAGAGAGAGTGTAATAAGTTAAGAATTGTAATGGAATCTTTCTATATAATTATAGTAAAGTCTTAGAGTTTAAATTATTTTTGTAATTAAAATAAATTTACTATAATTATTTCAATTTTATCCAAAATAAAATATTCTAAAATAGAGGAAGATTTAGTTTAGATAAATTCAACTGCATTCTCTGGAAATTATCTATATAAAAAGTTGTTCTATCATTTTTTTTTATTTATTGTAACATTAATAACTGTAAGTTATAATAGAGATGAGAACTCTTTGTATTATATGCATATATTTTACGAAAAATTTTAAAAGAAACGAGACCTATTAATTTTTATTCTTATTTTTTTAATTTATTTTTATTATTTCTCAATTCAAAATGAGCGCGTTCCTGTGATTTGTATTCCTTCCGATAGATAACGCTTATGTGGAATAACACGTGGCTCCGTCTGGAAGACGATCTTCACCACCGATCTTTCACGCTGCCGCCTGCTTTACGGTAAGATTTCGGTGTGATAAACAATTTCACGTAATCGAAGAAATCCGATTGTTATACCAAAAATTAATTGAATTTTGTGTACAATTATCGTGTGCTGTGAGTTTGATTTACTAGAACGACTTTATATTTTCGCGATATCAAACGCTAATTTTATTTTTATCCTAAATATCATATGTGTATGGTTTCGACAATCCAAGGATTAAACATATAATTTTTATATTTTTCGGATTTGGAGAAATTATTTTATACAGATATTAGTTTCTAATAAATTGTGCCTATTTTACTTTTATATATTTTTATATTTGCAATGTGAGGAGAGCAATCTGATATAACCTCCAAATCTTAATGTTGCTATCTGTGATTAGACTTTCTAGTAGCAATATTGCTACTGTCTCGTTTTTACATTTGTCAATCAATTTTATTAGATATCATTTATAGTTATTCTTATTTTTGTATTCAATAAACTTGTTATTATGTATTTTGCAAGTGTAATATATATCTGATCTATATGTTCATTTTGTGTTATAAATATTGTTTAATTAAAAAAAAAATTTTTATTGATTAAATTAAAAAAAAATGTTTATAGATGGCAGATACAAAAGCGCAAACTCCGGAGAAAAAAGCTGCACCTGCTGCGGCTAAAAAAGATGCAAAGAGCAAGGGAAAACCTTCGAGGGGAAACCCAAGAAATTATGATTTAGGAAATGGTGTTTATAGATTCAGTCGTACACGTATGTACCACAAGAAGGCTATCTATAAATTTCTGGGGAAGAAGACTCCAAAGAAGGTACATGTTTGTCATGTATTACTATTTTATTATTAATTTAAAAGAAAAAAAATACTGTTAAATATTTTTTGAATTTATTTGTTAAAGTAATAAAATGGTAATTTATAGAAAATCATTTATATCAATATAAAAATTTGATTAAAGATTTTAATCTAATTCTAAATTATTAAATCCAATTGTATGTACTGATAAATCTATTCTATTCGTTACAGCCCAAGCCGTCAACACCATTGACTATTGAAAAGAAGATTGGTGGTGATAAGAATGGAGAAAAACGTATCGTGCTTCTAAAAAAGAGACGTGCAAGCTACCCTACTGCTGATCCAGTCACTGTACATCATTCTAAGAAATGTTTCCATGAACATAGCCGTTATCTACGACCTTCCCTGACACCTGGCACAGTATGCATTCTGTTAGCTGGACCTCACAAAGGAAAGAGAGTTGTCTTCTTGAAACAATTGAAGAGTGGTTTACTTTTGGTTACAGGTATGTTAAATTACCCAATCTTAAAACATTCGATAATATTTGATCTGTTCAATATTCGATGATTCAATTTGTTAAACAAAAAGTATTGTCGCAAACTTAATTATAATTCTTAATTGTTAACAAATAGGACCATTCCTGATCAATGCCTGTCCCTTGCGAAGAGTTAGCCAGAATTACGTGATTGCCACCTCCACGAAGTTGGATTTCTCTGGCGTTCAATTGCCTAAGCGCATAAATGATGATTACTTCAAGAGAAAACGGGACAAGCGTGCCAAGAAAGAGGAGGGTGATATCTTTAGTAAGAAAAAGGAGGAGTATAAACCAAGCGATCAAAGAAAAGCTGATCAGAAAATAGTTGACAAACTAGTGATTGATACCATCAAGAAGCATCAAGATAAAAAATTGCTGTTTACTTATTTGTCAGCAATGTTTGGTTTGAGAAGCAGTCAGTATCCACACCGAATGAAATTTTAATTCATGGCACTGAACTTTTCAAATAAAAGAAATAAAGATAAAATCTCAAATTCTTATGTCTTTTGTTACTTTGTTTTACTTTAGTATTTAATATCCTGTGTCATAATTTTTTTTACTATTGAGTCGTGAAGATTATTATATGCGTTGCATCTTAAAACTTTGTTTCAAAAACAGTTCGGTTAAAACTTAAGATTATATCTCAGATAAAGCAAAAAAATTTTATTAAGATAGTAATATTTTTATCTTTCTAAATCTATTATAATCAGATCTCAGAAATATTAATGTATAATTTAATGTTATGTAATATAGAAAACATTTAAAGAAATTAAATATTACATATACATGTACATTAGAATATGAAGTATATAAAATTATAAAAAGATATCTAGCTCTTGAAATTTGTTATAAATTATAAATATGATTTTTTATATAAATTTATTATATCAAGATAACTCAAAAAAGTGAAAGATTTTTCACAATTTTTATCTCTAGAAAAAATTACATAATGTTCACAAATTAATACATAATATTCATAATTAAAAAAATTAAATTTACGATTTACTATTAATTTTATTTCTCCTGGATTATGTAGTAAACTCTCGTATATAGCTAATTTTATATTGTAGTAAAAAAATTATGACAGACCTCAAGCATCGAACGAAATATATATACATATTTGTGATTTTAATTAAGCCTAAAGAAATAATTATTCCTTAGTCCTAAAGATTGCTACAAAACTTTAATTTTTAAATATAAATTTAACGCATAAGACGGGCAACAAGAGCCGTTTAATTTTTAATTTGTGTATTTATATCACTTTGATTCTTGCTTAATTAAATAAATATATTATATGGAAAAACGCATTTCGTTATCTATCATCGCAATATATATATATATATATATGCACATTATTTGTGAAAGTTAACTCATTAATAATTTTATCATAGGAAATATAGTTTTCAATTGTGATTGCGTATATAGAAAAAATCTTTTTACAATTAATACGTATAACTTTATATGTACATCTCCCAATAATAAAAACATTTTTACTGCGCATTCTTAATTCGAAATATATATTTAAATTAACAAAAAGTTGAACGTGATAACGTATCGAACGAAATATATATTTGTGACTAATTAAAATTAAAGAAATAATTATTGTTTTTAAAGTTACGAAACCTTAATTTTTAATTTGTATTTATATCGAATTATGTTCAATTCTTAGTCGATTAAATGGATATATTATGCGAAAAATGTGTTTCTACACGCAATCGTGATTTATATGAGAAAACTATTTCTCAGAATAAAATGATAAAATTATTAATTTTTACAATTAATATGTAACTACATCTATCGAGAAGATAGATCTTGAAATGCATTTTTCGCGTAATATATTTATTTATTAATAGAGTAAATATCAAAGTAAAATAAATTTAAATTACAAATTAAAGTTAAGATTTTGTGATCTTTCACAGAACAATATAATTATTTATTTAAAGTTAATTAGAGTTGCAAATATATTTCGTTCAATGTTCTTTATCGCGTTCATTTTTTCGACGATTTAATGTTAAATATAATTCGGAATGAAAACGCACAGTAGTAAAACAATCAAATTGCATGAATCGCATGATCGAATACATTATTGACAATCTCAATGATAATTATAAATATATCTAGTAATAGAAATAATTAATATCTGTTATAAAAATATTTTTTGTTATATACATATGTGTTGTTTTTATGATTCATTAAAAATTAAAAAAAAATTGTTTAATGCTACTAATGGTTAAAATTTTTTAAAAATTCTCTAAAAAATAATATAGTTAAAAAAAATATATCTTACAGTTTTACTATAATCCGAATAATATATAAGAAGTAGGTATAGTATTAAATAATTTATTTATTAATATATTTCAATTTAGAATTATTTTGCAATATACATATATTTTGTTCCATGCTTTATTATTCGATTTTTTTGGACGATTTAAATATAGTTCAGATAATTTCAAATAATTAAAAAATTAACTATAAATTCAAATTTGTTCTGTTTTTAATAATTGCATTAAAAAAAATGGAAAATAAGCTAAATATCTCAATTTAATATCAGTGTGTTATTCCTATCGGGGAAATCGTCGCGTTATATCTTTTAAAATAATATACCAAGACTTTATTATTTCATTTATCTCGTTCATATTTGCTATAACAAAAAATTCACGAGATAAATATATATCAAACAATAAAATTTATGAGTTCTTCATAAATATTTATAAACCCACATGAGTTATGTGTCATTTATTTAAGACATTTTCTCTATTTTTTGCTACGGATAAAATAGTTATGAAAGTAACATGAATTCAACCCAGTTGAGTAGTTATTTCTAAGAAACATTTCTAGATTCCATTTAAGATGAAAAAGACGATGTTTATCTTTCTCTTCTTTTACTCTTCCGATATCATCTTTATTTCGCGCAAATGTTGCGCGACCATGTTCCCATTTTCTTATATGTATTCTCTGATGGAGATTTATGCGAATGCGAATTTGAAATGCACCATTGAACAACGTTTTTGCGCGATATCATTTTCTCGTGAAGCGGTTTTTTTGTTAATCTATATATCAATTAAAGCGAAATACGTGACCCGAAATATACATATGTATATATATATATTTTCTACGTCGAAGAAAATTCCATTGTGTACGTCTCAGCAATATATCGACAAAAAGAGAATAAAAGTCACCCTTTTTTTGCAAAGTTTCATCCCTCCCAAACTCGGAGCATCCATATCTGCAAGATTTCGTCCGGGGATTGAAAAACGTTACAACCCCCTTGGCCAAGACGAGACCAATAGGATCATGGTCTCGGTGGCGCAGAATCCGCGAAATTCATCCCTCGATTCTCGCATCCAAGCCCGATTGGCCGAGACACAGTCCAATCGGATTTTACCCGTTATTGATCCCGGGGGTGGAATTGTTGAAAGCTTTTTTTTATTGGCCGGGAGTTGTAAAGTGTTTTATGGCCAACGTAAAACGATCCGCCGCGTTATACGGATGGTTGTGGTGAGTTATTAAAATTGCCCAGGACGCCTCGATGCGTCCGCGAATTAATGGACGCGATTTCTCGAGACGATCGACTAAGAGATCGCTTGAATTACCCTGTTCGTAGGTGTTATTACTTCTGTCGCTGGTGCAAGAATTGCGTCTTTGAAAAATACTCGGCGAAATCTTTTATTTGATTTCTACAAAAGAGAGATCTTAAGAGCAGTTAAATATTGTACTGTCTTCAAAATTGAGACCGCATAGAAATTGTGCTTTTAAAAAATATTTGATCGTAAAAAATGTACGGAGGAACTTGAGAAAGTTTCAAGATCGAAATTAGAATAAATAAATTTCAAGTGAGTATGAGTTATTCCCTAAAATATCTCGTTATATACATATAAGAATATATAATTTATTATATATAACGATATAGATTATTATATTTATTATATGTAATGAATATAATGTATTATATATATATATAACATATAATATTATATATATAATATATAATTTCAATATCAGTCATTCTCTGAAATATCGTTATATATAATAATATTACGTTCTTTCTTTCAATCATATCCTGTACAAAATGTCATACTAATATAAATTCGTTGTAACTTTTGATGAGAGAGGCTAGAGTATATGTTTGCGTACGATGATGGCTGTCATTGTAACAAAATGGATTTACGAGGCAAGGGTAGAAGTGGGATGTTTCCCTTGAAATAACAGTTTACAGAAAAATTAGCGGCACTTCACTATGCAAACAAGCGTCAATCGTATCCTCCCCTCGTGAAACTAACAACGCAAAGTTCCTTTCGATGTTGGAGTACAAAAAAGAAACCTATGCAAACACTTCTATTGTTCATGAAAAAAGATACGATCTTTTTTAAACGATCGCAAAGTGCAGATGTGCATTTTTCCACGTTTGAACAAATATCGTATCATTATTTTGATGCGTTATTTCAAAATTAAATCATACACACTTAGATACGATATTTTTAGGCAAATTTTATAATTAATAGAAGTTATTATTTAACAAATATGTACTAATTAAGATAAAATATTATTACAGAGATGATATACGATTTGCTATTTATGAATATAAATTATTATTTCAATTATACTTATTATACATATTTACATTTTCGCTAAAATATCTAGTAAATCTTATGCGCAAAATTTTTTAACAATTCTTATATGTACACTAAAAAAAATTATAAAAATTTTTCGTAGAATTGAGCATAGGATTTATTAGATATAAAATATTTTAGCGAAAAAATATAAATATGCATATAATAATTGAAATAATAATCAAGTAATCAATAATGGTCAAGTTAAAAATTCGTTTATCAGTGTAATTAGTTATACATTTCTCGATTAGAGATTTATGCATAAAATCCCAGAGAAAAACTAAACATCCTCAACAATTACAATCTTGAAAAGATATGCAGATACTTCATAAAAGATCTTATTTGAATTCTCTCACGTTTATCAAACTATCGCGCAAGCACATAATGCATTCAATCGTGGATAGTGCGTATCGCGCGCACACTTTAGTGTGACATATCAAAATATATTTCGTATTCGTGAAGATGGGGTCCGCGATTATCCCCTAATAGATTCTTTGGGATATACACCCGCGTATCCCGGTTACGCGTGATTTATATAATGGGGGCGCACGATATGATTTAGGGGGCACGAGACATAGTACGGACGAGAGCGTAATTCCACGAGCGATTTGCTTGATCGAATCGCCACGTTTTGAGTATATGTATCGTATACGTATCGATTCGATTGATTAAAAGCCCTCGGCCCGATTGAAAGTCAGACACGCTCGACGGGGTTCGTTGCCCTTCATCGAATTATTGTGTCGCCCTTCTTTGTGACGACCCCCGCCGCGAGAGACAAGTCATTTCATTCATGTGGAACTGGTATGATTTTTATAAATGAGAGCAAGAAATTATTAAGTGTAATGATATGTAAAATAGCGATGGATATGTGTGATATAATTGTGTTCAT